TTACATATTGACATCAATGCTGCAATTTCCACCCATTTGTTCCTGATTGATGCTTCAAATTTTCATTGCCAATCTACAAATGATAGTGATAAAATTAAAAATAAAATAAAAAGAGTTAATTGATAAGTGAGAAATGCATACTAAAAGGTTATCGTTAATAAAATTGTTACCTATTAGTTATGACCATAATTAGCTGGAATGAAGCAAGACTTCTTTGTATATTACATTCCGTGTAAATACACCTTGTTGGCCTACTATAGAGCCATTTTTTACTAACACGGTTGTGGTTGACTTTGAGGACCCCCTCGATAAAGCCACATATAATTGTCCTGATTGATGCTTCAAATTTTCGTTGTGTTAGTTGTTTCTTATTGTAATTGTCAAGATATATTTTTAATGTGTTGTGTAAGGGAGAGACCTTTTCTTTATTATGCACGTTCTAAAAACTTGTTATGAAAAAATACGTAATTCGTGTAATTTGAGGCATAGATGGTAAATTAGTAAAAAGTGGAGAAAGGAAACCGGCTTCACCCACAGAATCACCTGAGAGAAATACCCAATCCTTGTTCATAAAGCTGCAAGATAAGAAAACATAACTATGTGCTAATCTTAGAACCAAATTGTGTGACCCATTGAAAAAAACAAAAAGAATGAAAAGAGTGCAGTGTTCCAACAACTGCATGGAATTAGAGAAGAGCAAACCTGTAATTATCTTCAAATTTATGAGGGGGCAATGGCTTTTGTACCATCTTCAAACTTGTTCATAAACCTGTAATTATCTCCCTGCAAAACTTTTCAGATTCTTCTTTTCAGGTTCTTATTTTGTGTCCTTCTATACATCTCTCATCCAGCAAAATTGCTTCTTTTTGCACGATTAGGACGTTTCTTTTCCTCCTCAACCCACTCTGCACGTTCACGTTTATCTCTCCTTCCGCAAAACGGTTCCCGGTTAGACGCATAGCAGTTTCTGATCCATTCCCCATGTGCCTTCTCCATGTTTTGTTTTGTTCCACTAATTTTACTGTCTTGTCCTCATTTTAAATATTATTTTCGTTTTTACCTTCTGACTTTACGATTTTAACCCTATTTTATTTGTGTATTGCAATTATGGTCCTTCTATATAGGAATGGGTTTGTGTTGTTTTTTTTTTTTTTTTGAAATGAGGGCATTCTTGGTATTTTATAATGCTTCACTAAATTGGGGCTCTCACTTTATATATATAGATGAAAATTCCAACTTTTAATAAAGAAGTTAATTAATAATTTAAAATTATGATTGCACCAACATATACAACGCGCGACAATATTACGATTGCACCAACATATATACATTACCAAACAACACATTAATTTATAATTTAAAATGTCTCAGCATAATAAACATTCAATTTTTTGGTTAGAACAATGCTTAAAGCCTCAACTTACAATATGGTGAATAATGTGAAGATGATGTTATAAGTAATTGTAAACAGAGGTCAATGTGATGGTGTCATGCATGGGCGAGTATACAAACAATACGTCAAATACTCAAAATGAAAACATAACTGAAAATAAGCTAACACGTTAATTAACACTTAAGTAATAATTTAATGATCAACAATGACGTCATACAATTTATAAAATATAATTTAAATTGATGGTCTCTATAACATTACCCATTTGAAAAACATATCTACTCGGTCAACAGCATTGAATGACCAAAGATGCGTTTTTTCATCCTATATAAGCACATGAAATGTAAGGAAAACCAAACCAAGCAAGACTTTTTTTTCGAAGCCTATTAACCAAGAAATACAATCATTTCATCATTTTCCAGATTTCCTTCTTGTCCTTTACCAAAACAAACAAAGGGCCATGGAGGGCAAGCAAACAAGAGGAAGGCAAAAGATTGAGATGAAGAAGATCGAAAATGAAGAGGTTCTTCTCGTTTCTTTCTCGAAACGAAGGTCCGGCGTTTACAAGAAAGCTACCGATATGATAGCACTATCTGGCGGTGAGGTGGGTATTGTGATCTTCTCACCTTCTGGTAAGCCTTTCTCATATGGCCATCCATCTGTCGACTATGTCATCAATCGGTTTATGAACCAAAATCCACCCGAAAACGACGACTACACTCATCAATTCATGGAAGCTCATCGACAGATGAAAATTTCCGAGGCCATGGAACAATACAACGAGCTTCTTGACCCGTTAGAAGCTGTGAAGGAGCGACAGAAGTCGCTCCTAAGAAAAAGCAGGACAAGGAGAAATCAAGAGCACCTGTGGTGGAGTGTACCTATTGAAGAGCTTAGGGTGGATGAGCTGAAACAAATCCATGAATCCATGGCGGAGCTGCACATGACTATCTCCAAACATCTTAAGGAGAGGAGTAGTAGTTCTAATATTTTTGGTGCCTCCTCTTCTGGATCTGTCCAACAAACCAATCCCAACTTTGATGCTGATCCAAGTGGAACTGGTTCTTATGCTTTTCCTTATGGCTACGGCCATTAATTTTGAAAAAAAAAAAAAAAAAAAAAAAAACCACTTTAAAGCTAAGTAGGACACATGAGTTATCTTACTAATGCCCCTTTTATTAATTAGTAATTTCAATTGTTGCGCCCACATGAACTTATATATGTAGATTTACATTTTGTTTAATTATAACTAGGATTTTAATCACAAATGGTCCCTGAAATTGACACATGTCATCAAGATGGTTCTTAAAATTGAAAATCAATCAATGTAGTCCCTAAAAATAGGTGTTGCAAATCAATGTGGTCCTTCCGTCACAATTCTGTTAAAATTTTGTTATATGCTGACATGGCACGTAAATGCAGCCCACAAGATTTAAGGATTTTTATCACAAATGGTCCCTAAAATTGATCTATACAATCAAGATGGTCCCTGAAATTGAAAATCAACTTGTGAGTCAGCTTCAAGGTCTATTTCACCACCCCAATTAATCTCTAGATGTTTGAAAATTAAGAAAGGGCGCATGGATCTACGTAGGCGCCCGCCTAGACCGCCTAGTCCACCCAAACCCGTCTAGGTCACGACTCTCACTTAGATAGAAAATAAATATTTTTCATTTTTTTAATTTTAATTTTATATTAAATTGAAAGTGTCTTGTTGAATATTTAGATGAAGTTACATTATATGCTTGTTCTCATATTTTCATTATATCTAATACTTTATAATCTATATTTCATTGTATTTGACAATTTATGTTTCCAAAAACAATTATGTATTTTTTAAGTATAAGCAGACATTTATTTATTACGATATAATAAATTTGCTTAAATCCGCATAGGCTCCGCCTAAGTGCTAGGCCCCAATCTGCTACCCGACTAGCACCTAGCGTCTTTTAGAACCTTACTATATCATTATATAAGAATAACATTAAAAGATTAAACATGATGTTCATTTTAAAAAATAAAATAAAACTCCTGCCAGAAACTATAGTACATTCAAGGAAATATCATTTAAGGAAAAAACTTCGTTGGCAATTAAAGAATGGTAAGTTAATATGCAACTGCTGGTAACCATATTCATTGGAATTTCCACTCGCCAGTTTAGAGGGCCATGCATTATCACATTTTCCTTGGACCTAACAAATTTATTACCTTTTTGATGATTTTTACACTCTTTTTAACTTTTTGTGATTTTTTTTTTTTTAAATTTTGCTATTGAATAAGATAAATAAAACGGAAACAACAAACATGACTTAACAAAAATGTGTGAGAAGTAAAAAAAAGTATATGTTTATCGTTTCCCTAATTGAAAGAATTCACATTAACTTCGTACATTTTTTAATTTTTGGCTCTTGGATTAGATAAATAAAACAAAAACAACAAACATGACTTAACAAAAATGTGTGAGAAGTAGAAAAAGTATATGTTTATCGTTTCCCTAATTGAAAGAATTCACCTCTCATTTTGTTTCGAGTGAAACTTTGAACAACCCCCACCACCCAAAGTGGGGGGTGATGCTCAACCCCTCATATTGATTGTGATTAGATTAGTTTGTTTTAGTTGAGACAAGAATATCAAAATTTAAATTAATCTAATGACAATAAAATGGGGTAAGCATCACCCTCACTTTAGAGGATAGAGAAAAATGCTATTTTCTTTTAGGTTATAACCTATTGCCATTTTTATAGGAAAACTCAAACAATTACATTATGTTTGGGTGAAGAAATTTAAGATTACTAAGGAATTTAAAAATGACGGAAATTGAAATGACGAGATTTCATTTTCTAGAATTTGTAAATTTTCTTGTTTGGTTAACCCAAAAGAACAATGAAATTGAATACGGAATTTGTTATTTTTAAACTCTCAATTATAGAAATTGAGAAATGACACCTATTTACAAGGAATTTGAACTTGGGATTTGGAGGTCCCAAATTCCAAGTTTTTTTTTCATGCGGAAATTCTAAATTTCTATATTTATGAATCCAAACAAGAGAATTAGTGCCTGTCAATTTATAAATTCTGACTTTTACCAAAATTCCATATTTATTTCCCTCATCCAAACATAGTGTTAGATAACTACAAAAAGAGAGACAAAATTTGTAGACAAATTTTTGTAAACTAAATGATATGAAAATTGATGATTGAATTATTAATTAAGCGTTGATAGAGACGTGCTTATTTTTATTAGTGACACACCATTTAGTTTACCATTTTTTTATAACAAATTTAACTTCTTAAGCGTTACCCAATTTGTAATCCAAATTTTCTTTTGCTCATTCAATTTTAAAATCTGGGGTGCAAAATTTGAATTCAATGATGGCAATCTCAAAGTGGCCAACTTTAATGCAATATGGAAATTTTCAATAACAAAAAGGAAAGATAATTAAAAGCTGTGTATATCAGCAATTTTCTAATAGAATTAAGGGCTAAAAACCAATATTAGAAACATTGAACCTTTACTTGGGGTCCTTATATCTCTAGCCCTATATAAACTCCTTCACTTCCACCAACTTCTCCATAAATTTTCCAATCAGAACTCCCCCATTTAGCCATGGGGAGGAGAAAAATTGAGATGAAAGTGGTGGAGGATAGCAGCTCTAGGCAGGTGACTTTCTCCAAGCGCAGGACTGGCCTGTTCAAGAAAGCAAACGAACTCGCCACCCTGTGCGGCGCTGAGATTGCCGTCCTTGTTTTCTCTCCGGGAGGGAAGCCCTTCTCGTTCGGGCACCCGAATGTGGAGTCTATCGCAGATAGGTTTCTAAATCAGGAGTGCCCTAAATCAAAATTTAGGGTTTCAAAGAATGATGAAAAAGCAGGGAGGCTTAACCAGCAACTGGAGGACATGGAAAGCCAGTTGGAGGCTGAGAAGAAAAGGGGAATTGTGCTTGACAAGGCTGTACTGAAAGCAATGGGTTTGCCTCTCAAAAGCAAACCGCCGAGCTTTCGTGAGCTTAGCCGGGCAGATCTTCGAAAAATGAAGGCGTCGCTGGAGGCGCTGCGCGAGAACGTGAAAGAAAAAGCCAGTGAGGTGGAGGCATCGTCTTCGCTGCTCCTCCTGGCAAATGGCAGGAGAGACTGATGTGACTGTTGCTAAAAGTGACTGAGACCTTAATTAGGTAATTTATAGGGAATGAATGTCTTTCTGCGCTTGTGATGTTGGTGTTTGGTAATTTTCCTTGTAATGAGAATCCTCCCCGATCTTCTTTCTGAGGATCTTAGGGATCTTCAAATCGTGTTCGTTCATCGTTCATCGTACATCATGCGGTCATAAATCATTTTAAATATTTTTATTTAAAATTAAACATGAACAGTATCTGACAAAAAACTGACCGCACGATATACAACGAATGGACACGATTTGAGGATCAGGAGAGGATCTCATTCTTTTGCTTGTACCTGAGATGGAATTTCCTAATATGTGAAATGTGTTGAAGGATAAACATATGTGGTTGCTTCATTTTTATTTTTAATTTTTTTTGGTAGAAATGTTTTGTGTGCTTCTATTGTAGAGTTGTGCCACAATCAATTGATCTCGTGTCCGTAAATGACTAACCGTAACATTATTTTTTTAAATTATTCTTTGCAATTGTAAATACACACACTACATGCATAAAGCCACAAATACCTGTTGTGTACATAATAAGCAGATACAAATCTAGGAAAAAAGGGTAATGCTACGAAGACAAAAAAAATTTAAACCAAATTGCAAACTAAATAATGTGGCACCAATAAGAAATAAGCACGTTAATCGATACTTAATTAATAATTCAATCATCTACAACCACATCATTTGGTTTACAAATTTTGGTTTATAAATTTTAATCTTCATAACATTACCTAAGAAAAAATGTGTACATGTGTCGATGGAGGAAGAATTATTTATAGTAGTGCATATATCCGTATGCCTATAAGACTCATTACTTCTTTTTTTTTTTTTTTTTTTGAACAAACAATATTTTCTACATTAAGGGGAGAGTGTGGACTTAATCTCACAATGGGCTAGCAATATGTGATTCAAATTCATGTACAATTAAATAGGAATATCACTAAAACGTAATATTATAAGGCTCATAAACCCCGTTGTACGTAATTTTAATTGATGGCATTAAATGCTATTTTAGTAATGGATTTTTGGACATATACGTTTATGGGTGATATTAGAGAGATCATTTTCTAGATTATATTTATAGACAATGATGTGGTGGTTGATGGTTGAGTTCATTTTTTTAAATCATTAAAAATGAAATTCAACCATCAATTACTACATCATTTGATTTACAAAATATGGTCTAAAAAATTATCTCCATGACATTTTCCTATATTTATATAGAGCTCATTTGAATGTGCTTTTAAAATAATTGAAAGTGATTTTGATGAAAATATTTTTTGGAAACAATCTTTAGTAAAAATGTTAATAAATCCTGAAAAAAGCACTTAAAGTGCTTCCTGAAAGAATCACATAACTAGTGCTTCTTGTAGAAAGCACTTAAAGTGCTTTTGGAACCCAAAAATATTTTCTCTAAAAGCGCTTTCAGTCATTTTGAAAGCACATCCAAATGAGCCCATAAGTAATACTAGTTAGACCAACTTTTTAAACCAAATTTGCTAATAATGTGATGTGTCACTAATAAAAAATAAGTACATTATATAATACAAATACTTAATATCCTTGTAATCCATCCAAAAGAAGAGAGATACTTTTGTATGCTCCACTTCGTAATGTATTTTAATTATCTGAACTGTTTGGTTTTTAAGTCTTTCGCATATAATCGTTACAAAAAAATTATTATAATTTTTTGCTGTTAGTTTGAAGGCTAAACCTCACATTAAGATATCTAAATTGAAACACCATATAAACCTAACTTTGTGAAAACACAAATGCCAAAATTCATATGTGCGGGTGTAACATACGTGAAATTTGGTGTTTCTAAAAAAATCCAAGTCTCCCACCTTCTTCTTTTCGCTCTCAATACCCAATTAATCCTTTTGTTTCCACACCCCAAATTTCTTCATTTCTACAAAATTCATAATTGGTCAATTCGTTATCCTCTTCCTCCTCATCATTAGAACAACAAAAAAAATTATGAAACTGGTAGTTTGATTAATAGCGTCGTTTTTTCTTAGAAAATGATTAGTGTCGTCTTGGGAGGCATATCTCCCATAACCCCTAACCTCACAACTAAATCGACATGCTCTTACTTGTTAGTTAACCCATCGCATCCAAATTAAGACATTTATTCATTTCATTTACTTCCTTATAGTTGTGATCAGTGTGTTACTCGTTGAATGAGTTCCAAGGACTCAAACTCAAGTATTACGATATAGTGGTATATTTCTTTATATGTAATTTGAAATTCTTAAATTCAACTCTTCTGGATGGTGAGTTCAATATCAAATTATGCTTTATCCAAATAATTGTGTCTCAGCTCAAAAACCCTCGCCCAATATCACTGTATAGAAAAAAGTACTAATTAAGATGTTCCTTACAAAATTTTACTTCAATCATGATCTCTAGTTTAAAAGCATTACAAGGAGCATGGTTGAAGTCAATTTTTTTTTCTAACATCTTCTAAATTTTAAATTAACCATATATGCGCCCAAATATCACAATAAGAATTTCATTTTACTTTTTGATATTACAATATATTTAAACTAAGAGGTGTGAGAATAAATTAATATCGAACTCGTTATTTACGAAATTCAAACTTAAGACCGACCTCTCAATTACAAGTGAAAAGAATATCACTAGAAAATAATACTAATTGGTGAATCACTTTTTTTTTTTTAATTTTTTTTTTTTTATGATACAACGATCTATGTATTCATCTATTTGCATTCAAGTTTCAATCTTTTTATCTATAGATCCGCGTAAGTAGAATATCAAGAAACAAAAGACTTTATGTACATAGAACAACATTATATAAGTCATCCATATAATGGTGGAAAAACATATATTGAACAATAAAAAGATACTAGTAGCTTTTGTGCCTTGAAAAGCAAGTATACAGAATGAATTGTAAATCAAAATGATCAAATTCAATAAACTCTTAGTTAATAACTTAATATAGAAAAGCACATGGCCTGGACGATGATTTGGTGTTTTAGGCACTGCAGGAAGACCAAAACCAAAGCCGGCAAAGGCAAATGAAATGTATATGTGGAGCTACCTACATTGTGGAAACTAGAACGAATAATTCAAAATATAAAGTGAACTGCAGGCGTGCGCATGCTTGAACTTTTTTTGTTCTTTGAAACTGTCGGCAAAACAGAGCGAGCAACTCGTATAACAGGTGTATGCATGCATGACCTCCATTTTTTATACGGACTTTGGACCAAACTGGTCATTTGCTTAAATTAGAGCATCTGAATAATATATATAAACTAATAACTGCTTGCTAGTCACTGTGTTGCTGATCTCCTCGACTAGCTAGGCGAGAGAACAAAAAATAGGCAGCTTGTATTATAAAACGTACTGCTGGCTATTGAATTAATTTAAGACAAATCACGAATTTAAATATTTTAATTTTAACCTGAAAGATATCTTTGTGTTTGGAATTAATTTATGAAACATCAATGGAATCATGCTATCGATTCGGTTAAAAAATAAAAAACTAAAGCGAAATGAGAATCAAATCACACGCCAAAAAAACCTAGAAAGCTTAATGTCAGTTTAGACTGAAGCTCAAGATTTTCGAAAGCTTCTTGCATCAAGTTAAAAAATCATTGAAGAAAGGAATTTTAGGTACCATGGTTGTGAAGTTCCCTTGCCCTTTCACTTTCGGTGAGATCCCAAGAGAATGATATGAACTAGATAGCTACTACATGCATGTGTCGCCCAAGTAATTCATTTCCCAATTACTTTAGAACGAACGGAATGGAGTTGCATGCATGTAATTGTCAACTGTGTACGTACAACATTCTATCTGCTTCTCTCTTGTTTTGCTATAAAATATCGCCATCAAAAGTTTTTGAATTAAATTAATTGACAGAAATTATTCTTCAATTGCATTTTCTCTTTTGACAAATGATATAAATTTACCTAAATTATGTAAAGGAAAATTCGAACATGGATGCAGAAAGTAGAACACAAATTTCTAGGCACTTTACTAAACTCAAAATTTGCCAATTTTTATTTATGCGCTCGAATTTTCCGTCCCCAATCATGTTTGTTTCATCTCTGTCAACACGGTCCTTACTTATCTATCGTCTGTTTCTTTTTCTTCATTCACGAAATCATCAAAATAGTAATGTGAGAAAAAATTGTGATGCTCTAGCAATTTTTAGAAAGAGGGAAAGACTTATATGACACATGTACGATACTGCTATGATGATGTTGTGTGTCAATGAAATAAATACATGTGTAAATTTATGTTTATATGTCTTCATTTTGTCGGCATAATGTTACGTAGCAATGTATTCGTGTCATATAAGTTGTTTTCAGTTAATAAATCTGAGAAATAGAAGTTATCATTTTTTTTTGGTTAGTATTGTTCATATTTTACAATTTTATTAAAGAAAAAAGGGGAATAAGACACCAAGAAACAGCTTATGATATGAGTCTATATATAATTCCATGGAGTGGAACGAAGGAAAGATGATTCCTGGGATTGGTCTGATTGTATAATTTTCTTCTAGAGGCGCTCATACAACCCATTGACTCCATCTAAACGCGGAGCGGTTTGGTCCCCACAAAATTCCCAAAACACCCTTAACCCGCCGCCAAAATCCCCTCAATCTACCTACATTCTAGCGTACTTGCCTCCTAAGAAACCGAATCTTTCCCCACCCCAGATAAAACCACCACATCCCCCAATCCCATAAACCAAACGGGCTGAAATCTAGAGAGAGAGAGAGAGAGAGAGAGAGAGGGAGAGAGATGGGAAAACTAGAGAGAGAAAGTGAGCAGAAGATGGTGGGTGGGGGAAAGAAGAGGTGGTTGTTCTTTAAGAGGATGAAGAAAGAGTCGTGGAGTTTGAGGTGGAAGTATTTGGGGTCTGCCTTTAAGTTCCGGCCGCTGAATCTGCAGCTTTCTTTTTACGATGATGTGGTTTTCAAGATCGTGGCGGTGTTCGAGGCGGTGGTTTTGCTGCTCAGCCTCTGTTTCTTCTACTTGTTTTGCGGATGCCATTTTTGAGAGGCTTTTGGTGTCTCTGTTTTCGTCTTCCGACTCTCTTTTTACGTACTTGGTTTTCTACTGCTTCAAGAAGGGTATAATTGACAGATCAAGTTGCTGGCTAAATGGGTTTCCAGGATTGGAAATTGAGAAGGAGAGTTTATGTTATTTACTTAGCATATTGGTTCTGTCATGTTGCTAATTAGTATGCTTATTATGTTGGTTATGTAGAGAGTTAATCATCAGTTAACTTCTTTTTTCTTCACAAATTCTGAATTTTCTGCAATTTAATTCAGCAAATTACTTTGGATTGTACAAATCTAATGGCATTGCCTCTATTAATGGAAAAATTCTAGACTGCAGATGGCCGCCATCTCATCCATCCATGCATATTCTCATTATTGGTTGTTATTATTGGCATGGGATGTCACTCAAGTAACATTGTTGCATGTTAGAAATTTCCTTATATTATAGAGGGAAGATTAAACACAAGATTTCGAGTGTAAGATTAAACACCTGTCGACTCCTTGAGCTACAAGCCACTTGCCTCCTTCTAGTTTGGAAAGCAAGGAATCTACCAAAGGCAAATTAGAATCCCCCTACCCATACTATCATTGCGTCGCATGCACGTTTTAAATTTTGGATAACTGTATGATCTCGATCCTTTTCTTCTGTTCAATCTTTCACATTGAAGAAGACATGTCCTACAAGACAAATAATCCTTCGGCTCCAATGATCTTTCCTACTTATATTTCCTATATGAGCTTTGTAGGCCGTCCCCCTTCTTTTATACAACCATGACTATAGAGAATTAGAGACGAATGAGTAAGTGATATATATATATATATATATGGATATGGTGGTGCCGTGGAGGTTGCTTTCGGTCCGACTCTAGAATTAGCTGAGTACATCATATGCATGAGATGACTTATCTCTGGTGTGAGTGTTCCAAGAGTGGATAGAAGTCTTGGAGAGATTTTTCAGTAAGACATGAACATGGGATGATACGCTACATGTCATTATACAACTTGAGAGACAATTGAAAAAAACATCTCTCCAGATTATATAATGACATGTGACATACCCGGCCCGTGTTCCAATCAGACTGAAAAATTTCTCGAATTCTAGGGTTATCTTCATTAGTTTGGGAGGGCTTAAGTTTGCGTTTACAACTCTTGAGTTTACTTGTACGGTTACTTTATCTAGTTATATTTGCAGGTGATTGGTCCGAAATGTTTCAAAAGAAGAAATCAGACTTGAAAGAAAAGATTTTTAGAAATTATCTTCAATAGTACGTAGCACTGAGATATCTATAATGGTTGGGAAAATCAAATCTAACAACCAAAGTCGTAGCACTTAGTGTTTCATAGCATTGAAGTCGGACCCAAGTCTTTGTTCATTAGTAGTACCTTTTTGCAAATACAATCCCTAAAATAAGTATAACAAATTACATATCGTAGTATTTATGTTGAGGTGGCAGCCAAATTATCTTCTTCTGAAACATTTTAGCTGCCACTGCCAAAGCTCTCTTATCTCTCTCCCTCCAACTCCTAACCCTGAAAACCTACTGCCGGAGTAGAGATGCAGGCCTCAGTCTGCCTACAAACCTCACCGTTCTCTCTCTCCAGTTTGAGACCTACGCACAACCCTCTTCTGGGTAACTCTCTGCCTTCAAGGTCATGTTGGCTCTGAAAAAAAAAAAAGCCACTTTAAGCACGAAAGCACTCCTATGAGCAACCAAGGAATCAGTCCTCAGGGATTTTCATGAACGCAGAGCTCTCAAGGTAAAGCGAATCCCAATTCCCATAAACTGAACTGCGACGTTTTCATTTTGTTTTTCTTTGTTTGGTTGCTGAGAAATTTTGGAGAAGCAAAAGAGAAACTAATCATTGCTTCAGTTACTTTGTTCATGCCTTGATATCCAAGAATTCTGATGTAGATTGTGTTTTTACAGATTATTTCAGCTTTGCAGAATTTCAACGAAGAAAACGTTGCATCAGTCGTTATGGCTGCGGAGCAGGTTTGTTTCGTACTTGCTTATAGATGAAGTTATGAACTAATGATGGACTTTCAACAACAAAAAAAGATATGTTTTTTAACCAAGCGATCGAGATATGTTAGACCTGTCAGCACATTGCTTTCGAAATTGCAAATCATCCTCTCTTACATGCTTTTCCGGTGTCAAATTTCATCGATTTCCAAGCTAATGTTGGATTTCTTATGTTATAATATCATGTGCCATTGCATCTGTAGGAAGGAGCAACTCTTGTGGACATAGCTTGTGATCCGGAGTTAGTGAAGCTTGCTATCGGTTTAACTTTTCTTCCGGTATATTCATTCACTTTGTAAGCGTATTGTGATCATCATTTTTCACCGCAGTTTTCATGTATCAAAGATTTTTAATTGATTAAGGATCTTTCCATTCTGCAGGTTTGTGTTTCTTCTGTGGATCCAGCAGCATTTCCAGCTGTAGTTGAAGCAGGAGCGCTGATGGCTCGTGCGCAAACTAATCCCTTTCATACTTTCAGGCCAAGAATTCGATTGTCTGACCTGGTTCCCTTCAAGTATCGCAAATGTGCTTACTGGATTGTGTTCGCAATATGAATTTGATGACTCTTGCAGGTTGAGATTGGAAACTACGGCTCCTTTTATGAGATGGGTGTGATTTTCACTCCAGAGCAGGTACATCATTAGGGCTGAGTTTCTTGCAAATTACGAAAAAAATTACTGAGCACGAATACTAATCGGATTCTCTTCTTGTTCTGTTGAATTCCCTTGCAGATATTGAACTTAACAAAGGAGACCAAGAGGATTCTTCCATCTGTGACCTTATCAGTCACGGTACCTCATACGCTAAGCCTCCCAGATGAGGTCAGAAGAAACAATTAAGTGAATGCCGATGCATGTTGACATGATTTCGGTTTAACCAAGCAATTGGAATTAATGACAGATCAAGCTTGCAGAGATGCTGGAGCAGGAAGGTGTAGACATCATTCAAACCGAGAGAGGGAAGTGTAACAGTCCTTCGAAATCCAGGGTTCTTGGTTTGGTCGAGAAGGTAACACAAGCTAACCTATACATATACCATTTTATTTTACGAGTTATTCAATCCAATCCAATTCCAGGACCCAAACGAGTCCCAAGTAGGCAAACGAGAAAATTAAACAAGAACTCGGAATTGAATTCTGGCCTAAATCGTATTTTAGGCAACACCAACATTAGCAGCAGCATATTCGATATCCCGAGCTGTCAAGATTCCGGTCATGTGTTCATCCGGACTGAGTGCAGTTACAGCTCCAATGGCAATAGCAGCAGGAGCTGCTGGTGTGGTATCTATAAACCATGAACCTGCTTCAATAACATGCATATTTCGCTAAAGCTTTTGTTTATTGAAAATACCCCTGAAACTCAACGCGAATCTCACTTAACCCTCCAAAACTGAATTTGCGATACTTTGTCCCTGATAAGCGCAGTTCTGGTGTCACGTCACCCTCACCGTCCAAATCCGTCAAAACTGAAGCACGTTGTTCTGCTATTTTTGTGTGGTTAACTTGCTGATTTTTCGTCATTTTCAGACACGGCGTGGACTCAGCAGTGAACTATATTTTGTGGGATTTGTCAACTGGGAACCAATAACGAAATGGTTATCAAACGGCTCCTAAGAGAAGCGGTTTTCTTTTAGATTTCTGGATTTTGATTCCTTGGCAACATAAACTGAACTTCACAGAACAAGAACAATTTGGACCCGAGCATCGGGTGCAAGAACATTTTACCTTCAACCAGATTTCCCTCAACACATCCTATACAGTGCAAGAATTGAAGAAGTTTCTTGCCGACTACAAAACCAAATCAAAAGAAAGGGAGGAAAAGAAGATATATTCTTGAATCTGGGCAAGACAATTGACCGAAAAATGTTACGAATCAAGAACATGAGTCGAAAATGAATTATTCGATACAATTTCCTGGGGACAGTTAAAACTAGAAGTTCCTGGTAAGGTTTAGACTTGTCATATTCCATTAAATAAAGCACAAACCCAACTGTTAAAATCTGAATTCTCGCTACTAAAATCGAATTGTGAACAGATATAGACAACAATGATACAGGCATGGGCGGTTTTACAAAGATACACGACCAGGACCTATGAATTGTATACAACTAGTGTACATCCACCATACGTAAACATGATATCTTAGTCAGACCAATCTTCCTCTTCATCATCCTCCTTACTATCCTGCAAATGTTAGAAATCTGCTTAGTAAATTGCAATTGACCACCACTCTGCATGGCTTGCAAGATAAGGTTCGACTTATTAACCACAAAGATCATGCAACGCAAGTTTACCTTTCTTTGTGCATATTCTGCCATGGCCTTCTCAAACTCAGCTCGTTTCTCCGTGGCTATATCATAATATTGAACCTTTTCCTAATATAAGAAAAAAAATGGAAGGAAAAAGAACAAAGAAACAATTCTATGAGCTATTTTTGGCCAAATCACCATTGTTAGGAACACTTGTAAACAGTCAAAGTTAAAATATTGCTTGATGCTTCATGCCACTGGATGAGCAACAAGTAAGATAGTCCAAATGGTGAGAACCATGGACAGTTATTAAGAAAGAATCATTGCATGATTCTGCCAGTATTACTTAAGTTATAAATAGCTTAAGTGAAAAAAGACAACTACATGCACATCAAGCAAGTCTATGCTGGTGAACGGGTCATATATTTTAACCAAAACTAGTCAGAACATTAAGTTAAATAGAACCCAGGTTGAAGAGAGTCGTATTTTATTGGATCTTCAATACAGAACTTTAGAGAAAGTGAAGCAAAAATATAACGAAAACATAAGAAGTCAACTGAAGTATACAGAGACCACAAACCTCATATGCCATTGTTTTCCACTTCTCTCCACCCGCCCTTCCAATCTGAACATGAAAGTGGTGTATGTTCATGTACAATCGAACTGATGGGATGAGTAAGAAATGAAAAGCATGCAAGAAGTTAAACGAATTACCGCATCATAAACTTACTTCACGCATTTGCTTGACACCTGGATTTTGCTCTTGAAGTTCCTTACGATAATCCTCCCTTAAACACACGAAAATCCAGTTTAGGACAGTAAAACCTCAATCACCCAATGGCCTTAAATTTGGAAATTGCCCCCTCTAATAACGAAAGATAAAGAAGCTGAAGATTCTCTCAACTAGCCATGATATGAACACTAAAAACCAGAATCATAAGCACAACGAATGATGATGAACTCGATTTCAGCCAAGCAAAAAGATGATGTGTTCTTATAGGACTAAGACAATCAAACAACAATATCATCGAGCCTATTGGAAATTTAATCAATTACAGCACATATATGCAATTAAATTTAGAAAGTGAAACCTGTCTAATAACATAAATGAAAAGCTAAACGGGAATGGAAGGAGGAACATACAAGAAATAGAAGAAAGCAGTTGGCGGTTTCTTCGGTATCTTGGAATCAAGTCTTGCACTTTTCTTCTTCTGCTTGGTTATAGTCTTCTTTACTGAAATGATTCTCTTTCCCTCCGCGTTTATGCTGCTTAACCTCGCTGACCTCCTTTTCCCCTCACTTTGTTGGACCTTCAACACCATTTCCCTAAAAAAAATTTCAACAATTTCCTCGATTACCATCAGTTTATTAAAGCGGGCAAAGAAAAAAGAACAAAACAACACATTCAGCCGCCACGTTGTCACTCACACAAAAACTAAACCATTACTAGGAACTCAAAGCAACATAAATCCATAACCCTATAATATTTCAGATATCTCTTCCCCCTCCTAGTCATTTCCGTTTCCTCTTTCCTTTTCTATCAATCCAATTCATCAGCAACCCGGCAGAGAGTAAGTGTACACTAAGCATTGCTTTCGATTCCAAAGGGTACAACTCTACAGAACATCCTAATCTAAACAAGACTATCAATTCCAATTTCTTTTAAGCTAAAGAAAAACCCACCACCCAACTGAGCTTAACCTAACTTCTTGGGCAAGAACAAGTGTGTTCTCCTCATTATCTAACACATAACAACACAACCCATCAAACAAAATGACAGAAATTACGATTCTTTGCTTTCTTTTCCAAATTTTTTTATCATTTCTTGGGTATTTTTCAAAAAACCAACAAAAATTCAGACAGCATTGAACATGTGGTGAGGAAAAAAAGGTAGAGAAGGTAGGGGAAATTACCCAGTTGGCGGAGGAAGAAGACGAGAGAGACTGCTGAGAGTTGTTAGTTTTCTTTGCCGTGTTTCTTCGCTTCGGGCCTTACGTCGTCGGTCGTGGGTCGGGTGGAGTGAGTGGGAGGTGGGCACAGCGACGATTGATGATTAGACAGTGGCGTGCACTCTCCGATGACGCCGCCGTTTTGGCGAGTACGGTGGGTGATGCGACGGCGTACAGAGTGATGGTGGCACCAAGGAGTTTGGGCTATGCGGTTGCTTGATCAAGCCCAAGTTGACTATGCCGAGCCCCGTTTCCACCTTAAGTATAAGGGTTAATCTCATTTTATTACCTGAAGTTCATGATTTTCAACATTTGGTATATGGAGTTTTTTTCATCCCAGTCTGGTATCTAAAGTTATAATTTTAGGACATTTTCATACATCCGCTAATCATTCTCCCTCTTTGGCTTTCGGGTATGTAGAAACTGCTGCTTAATTTCGAATTTTATCCATCTAAAATTCAAATTTCTACCCGAATGCATACTCAATCACTTGTTTTAGGGTTCCTTTTCTGTTGAATTCATGAATTGTTTAATCTATTTACACAACATGTTTAAATCTCACAGTTTGTTTTATGTGATGGGAATTCGGCAAACATCGCAAGCGCCTAGAAGTTGAAACAGTGATTAGAAATTAAAAAAAGAAAAAAAAAGGGATTTTTGTGGGTTTTTCTGTTTTTGTAATTATGGGGCAATAAACTGCTTTTAAATTATGATAAAATTGCACATTTTTTTGAAATTATATTCTTTGTTAGCTCTTACTCTGATGAATTGGTGTTACCAAAGTGAACCACTTTGGATGGGGAGGGATTGGAGAAGGGGGTTTATTGATTCTGATTTGTTAATCAGATGCTTGTTCATCAGAGCTGGGAAGCAGGTTGTGGAGGAGAGAAGGGAAGGTGGGTGTGGGTTGCAGATGAGAGATGGAAAGGAGGGTTTTGCGGGTTGCAGATGAGAGATAGAGGGAGGGAGGTGTGGGTTGCAGAGGAAATAAGGGAGGGAGGGGATGGGGGGGAGGTAGGAGACGGATGGGGATTTTTTTTTTTTTTTTTTTTTTTTGTATTTTTTGTATTTTAATTTTTTTAATATTCAAATGGGCCCGTATTGACACGTGGCATCCAGTTGTTGTCCACGTGAGCGCCACATCATTAGTTAACAAATGTTCTAACGGAAAACTTAACATATGTATGAAAATGTCCTAAAATTATAACTTTAGGTACCAGACTGAGATGAAAAAAACTTCATGTACCAAATGTTAAAAACCAGAAAACTTCAGGTAGTAAACTGAGATTAACCCTAAATATAATTATCAGTTTTGTTTAATGTTTTGGCTACAACACCAGCACGAGAATTAGGGACCTAAAAAATGTGACTGGTAGACTAGATTGTATGCCACATGTCTTTATATAATTGAAAAGATATTTGAAAGTAAAAGATCTTTCTTTCAATTAACGTGACATGTTGTCTCACGTTCCAATCAAATTGAAATATCTCTTGAAATTATGAGACAATCATTGAGATCGCGTAATTTTTAGGAATACCCTTTTTTTCGTGATAAATGGGGTGTGAAGAAAATTGTGACAAAAAATTTGAAAAAATAGAAAAACTGTTATAAATAAAATGGGGTGTGAAGAAAATTGTGACAAAAAATTTGAAAAAATAGAAAAAGTGTTATAAATAGGTAAAAGTTAGAGAGATAACCTTTACTAGTGACAAGAGCGAAGCAGGTGTAAAATATCACAATGTAACTATAACACAAGCAGTGGCGAAGCCACGTGAGGGCGAGGAGTGGCGGCCACCCCTCCTCTCTCCAGAAAACAGGTCTGGAGATCTCGTTCAGCCCCTCTCTTCTAATTTTGTTAACATGGTGAATTATGGTGATGACAAATATTGGAAAGAAAATGTCCCCTCGCTGGAAAACCCGACTGGTTCGCCATTGCTATCCGGTGTCCTATTCTGTTGCGCAGCAGCAAAGCTGATTCAATTTTTTCTTTTAAACCTCCAGGCCAAAATGACATCATTTTGGTCTTGGTAAAAAAATAAAAAAAAAAATGAAACGAAACGGCGTTGTTTCGTAAATGTTGGGACAAAAAAAATATAAGGGCCGTTCACTAACTTCCCTTCAGAGTTCAGTCTCTGTCCCCCGTTGCCTTTAGTCTCTGTACCTCTTCCTTGCTTCCTTAAACCAAAATTTACATGAAATTTGTTGTTTGATAGGCTGGGTAATTGAACAAACAAAAAGTCGAGAAGGGAGAAAATGAGGTTTCGCGAAGATGAAGAGTTCTCAGTTGAAGGATTGGTGTTGATGTTGAATCGTTGATGGGCAGTGGGAGTGATGATTGATTTTATTTTGAACTTTTAGTTACTTACTTATTTAATATTATTAAACATTGATACTGGCAAACTAAGAGTTAAAATAAAGACACATGTCGTAAATATTAGAAAGAAGACACAAAGGAAACACAAATTTGGAGATAGTAGATCCCTCTAGGTTCCTGCCTAAATCTTATTGGAGCAATATTAGAAAATATGAAAAATAACAATATAATTCCAATGATAATAATCATAAAGAAATTCACGACATCAATTATATATGAGATTAATATAAACAACTAGAGAAAAAGTTAGAATAACTGACAAACTTGGAGATTGAGGCTTGCATAAATGCAATGTCCTAAAGATAGAATTTCGCTCCTAGTCTTGTGCTTGTAGTTCGGTAGGCGTCTATCTCCCAGGATTCAACAATCTATAATCCGAAGTCAAAGCACTTCAATCTTCGAACTCTGGCGAACTTTATATATTCCGTACTCTCAAGACACGACTCGGAATTTGACTCACAAAACATGAGAGAAACAAAGTGGGGAAACCCTATTTCTCAAGAGTAAAAATTAACTCTAATTTTCTATTTTAATACCAATGATTTCATGGGTTTATATAGAATCCAATTTCTACTTATCAAAGAGATGTAACTTTTCATCTATAAGTATACATCACTTATCAAGGGAATACAACTAAACAACATAACCTTTCTAAGAAATTGGTTAACAATATTTTTCATTCAATTATTAAAATTATATACTATAATATATAATAATTATTTCCAACAAATGTTGCACAGGCGCCTAGCTGCTAGGCCATATTTTGTTGCCTGACTAGCGCCTAAATGTTTTTTAGAATCTAATCTTAACGAATGTAAGATTTTTACATGGTTTCCATACTATCGTTTACAACCGCTTTAGTGAAGAGATTATTTTCTGTTATGAATATTGATTCAAAACTTTGCACTTTCCAATGTGAAAGCAACTGCTTTGATTAAATCTTACACTCTTTTGAATTTCGCCCCTCCCCTCGGCAAATCCTGGCTTCGCCACTGAACATAAGGGGATGGCAAATAAAAAAGGGACGGATAGATACTAATGTTATTTATCTTTCCTTTTTTCTGTATTTTGATAGTTCACGGAGCGCTCTATTTATAGAGCAACTCCAGCATACACCTTTTGAAAATACGATCTCCTTCATTTCCAAAATTTACATTACTATATGGGTATTGAAAATCTGTGTGGGCATTCATTAATCTGCTAATTATTTTCAACACTGCCAATGTTTTCAACAAAAAGAAACTGTGACGCCACGGCAATTAGCAAATAGAATATTAATTAGTAATTGTTTATTCACAAGCAAGAAAATGTAGTAATTTTGTTCTTTTGTCTTTGATTTTATAGGTAAAATCAAAATTTAATTTGTTTTAGAAAAAAAAAAAATTGGTTGGCCCAACGAACAATACAAGCCAATTACTTCTTAACCATATGTAAAAGGATGTAATATTAAAAGAAATAATCAAGTTTAGGAATAGGATTGGCTTAACTTTAACAGAATATCCTTGTTATGAAAACTAAAACAAAAAGAATAATCCATTAAAAAAAAAATTCTAAAATAATCACATAAAGTACCAAATTTGCTTAGCCTTTTCTTCAAGGGTGGATCATTTTTCACCTAATCCACCTAGTTCGGGATCTGGACCGTTGAAATTTAATTCAACGACAGTTATTATCATTTTTAAAGGAGTCCACTGTTTGTAGCCGTTGAATCAAATTTCAATGCCCCGAATCCCGGACTAGGTTAGGGAAAGGGATCCGGAGTTCTTCAAGAACTCTGTATGTTTTCGCCTTCATTTCAATGAATATTTATTCTTTGTTATCTGGGATGGATTTGAAAATGTTAAAAAGCGTTTCTTACATATAACAACACTTCTGATTGTGTTTAACAAAAAGAATTATTAATACTTATGCCAGACAATGCACTTCGACTTGTAACAAAAATTTCAACGTGTTTACAACGAAACCATTTCTAAGTGAAGTGCTTTGCTCCCTACGTGTACAATCTCAAACGACGTTTTAATGTCTAAATACGTAAAAATGGGCAAGTCATAGAAGTAGTTCTTTAATTTATATAAATTATATGTTTTTATACTAAATTTGTAATAATTTTTTAAAAAAATTTTGTGTGTATTACTAATCATAGGCAGAATGATAAGTCAAAATAGTTTCAAGGGAATTATTATTGATATTCCAAAAATCTCATTCTACACTCTAAATTTTTTATATTTAAAAAGAAAAATACACTTTTAAAGAGTGTAGAATGAAATTTTTAGAATGTCAATAACCCTTATCTAGTTTCAATACTTGTGTATTAGTAAATAATGAATAGAAATAATCGAAGTAAGTAATTCTAATAATTAACTTAAAGATAAATATTAACATAAATTTATACAATTACCAAGAGTCAAGATCTCTGTTGGAGTTTGAGAACAAAATAAATAAAAAATAAATGAAATAGTTTTTACCCACAGTGACGTGGCATCACACAGATAATAAAGACCAGCTCAAAAGTTGAATCCAACGAGGTTCACTTCCGAAGCCAAAACTTTCCTCGTTCAGAGATGTTTTATTCTAACGAGAACATGAATACTACATTACATGTTTTTGTATATAAATTATGAGATTTTTTTTTTTTTTTTTAAGTTTTTGCGTTTTTAACGAATATATTTAACTGTTTGTATTATGACATGTTTTTTTGGCGTATCAGTCGCACCGAAAAATTCATATCCTCCAAATAAATACCAGATTCTTCTGCCCTTCTCATTCACATCGTTGGCGTCGCCTCTCTCTCTCTCTCTCTCTCTCGTATCACTCACTTTCTCTCTCATCGCCATGCAGTCCCTCCAATCCCCCACTCTCCGGCCTGCTCCATTCGACCCGATTCGGAAACGGGACCCCCATTTCCCTAGTATCACTACCAAAACCTCCACCTCCTCCGGGCGAATCTCATTCATCTCCGCCTCTTCCGCCCCTGCCGTGTCCGCCCCTAAACGTGAGACGGACCCGAAGAAGCGGGTCGTCATCACCGGAATGGGCCTCGTCTCCGTCTTCGGCAACGACATCAATACTTTCTACGACAAGCTCCTCGCCGGGGAGAGCGGCGTCGGGCCGCTCGACCGGTTTGATGCGTCTAAGTTTTCGACCCGGTTCGGGGGCCAGATCCGCGGGTTCTCATCGGAGGGGTACATTGATGGGAAGAACGATCGACGGCTCGACGATTGCCTTCGGTACTCCCTTGTTGCTGGGAAGAAAGCTCTCGAGGATGCTGGTCTTGGCGCCGATAACCGATCAAAGGTCATTGCTTTATTTCATTTGCATGTATTCAATTGTTTCTGTATGTTCATTAGCATAATGGGGGGTTTTGCAATGCTCATTAGAGTGATGGGTTTCCGGTAGAACGTGCTAATTTGGAGCATTTGGTTGTTTATGAGATTGATTAGCTTAATTTTGTGTGTTAAGAGTAATGGGTTCTGTTAAAAAACTATGGATGTTGGTGTAAATTCAATGCTAATTGTACGACATGCATGGAGTCGTTGATGTGTATGGAGAATATTTGTGTGCATCTATTTGATTATCATCCAGTTGAAAAATGTTTGTTGGCTTTTTGTTTTTTTTTTTTTTTGAACAGTGAGATGAGTCTCTAAAATGGTTGGTTTTGCTTCACTTACAGCTTGATAAATCACGGGCTGGGGTGCTTGTTGGATCGGGAATGGGTGGTCTTACTGTCTTTTCTGACGGTGTTCATGCACTGATAGAGAAAGGTCACAGGAAAATTACCCCCTTTTTCATTCCTTATGCTATTACGAACATGGGGTCTGCGTTGCTTGCTATCGATCTGGGTTTTATGGGACCGAATTATTCCATTTCAACTGCTTGTGCTACTTCAAATTATTGTTTCTATTCTGCTGCAAATCACATTCGTCGGGGTGAAGCTGATTTGATGATTGCTGGCGGAACTGAAGCTGCCATAATTCCTGTTGGGGTGGGAGGGTTTATAGCATGCAGGGCCTTGTCTCAGAGAAATGATGATCCAAAAACGGCTTCCAGGCCATGGGACAGAGATAGAGATGGCTTTGTTATTGGCGAAGGTGCTGGAGTATTGGTAAGCCTGAATAGATTTTTATTTTGAAACAAAAAATGATCATATAATCTAATATTAGTAGACGGACCCCTACAAAAGTCTATGTCAGCTATCATGAATTCACGATGATTGAAGCGTCGAGTGTATACACTGAAGTTGACCCTGTTTTTGTCTTAAATTTTAATCTTGACATGTGAAGAGTTTTGGTTTGACAGGTAATGGAGAGCTTGGAACATGCAACAAAACGAGGTGCTACAATTATTGCGGAGTACTTGGGAGGTGGTATTAACTGTGATGCTTATCATATGACTGATCCTAGAGCTGATGGGCTTGGTGTATCTACGTGCATACAGACATGCCTCGAAGATGCTGGTGTATCGCCCGAGGAGGTACTCTCTCTTTTCGGTAAACTTATCTTATGTTCTTGTGATTGTTTCTCAGCATCATTTAGTGAACTACTCCCTCACTTTGTCAGGTTAACTACATCAATGCACATGCAACTTCTACCCTTGCTGGTGACCTCGCCGAGATAAATGCTATAAAGAAGGTGTTCACGAACACTAAAGATATCAAGATCAATGCAACTAAGGCAATCTCTCTTCTCTGATCCTCTGTCTCTTTATAATTCATATGATGTTTCTTTTCTGACTACGTATTTCTTGCCCTTACTTTGTTTCAGTCTATGATCGGACACTGTCTTGGTGCCTCAGGGGGTTTGGAAGCTATTGCCGTCATCAAAGCCATAACAACAGGATGGCTGCATCCTTCCATAAACCAATTTGTACGTTACTGTTTCTATGATTTTGGACGCGGTTTCTACAGCATAGTGTTAGTTTGATTTCTCTTATTTGAAACACTATAGTAATGGTTTCCGACGTGTGGCATGTCCTTTATGAAACAGAACCCAGAGCCTTCAGTGGAGTTTGACACTGTTCCCAATGTAAAGCAGCAGCATGAAGTGAATGTTGGTAAGAAGACCAAACCTTGACAATCCCAGTGCTTTTTCAGTTTCAACTGCTCAAACACCGTTCAAGTAGACTTACTAAACTTTCGTAATTTTTTTCAGCCATATCGAATTCATTTGGATTTGGGGACACAACTCTGTTGTGGCCTTCTCTCCGTTCAAGCCCTGATCATTCGACTTGTTTTCAAGTTTTTTAGTATACCAACGATGCTTAGAGGAGATCTTAATTTATTCAGAAAGGTTGTTCTCTATTTTATGGACGCTAGTCGTCGTTCGATACCTAGTTCTGTGAGGAAACTAGTAGGAGAATCAATGTTTTGTTGTTCTTTTATATTATGAGGTGGTTAGTATGAAATTGTTGTATTAAATGGAAAGGTTGTTTTGGTATATTCTTTGAATTCTGAGTATGGATCACCAATTTTGCATGTTGTAACAGTAGAAGATCCTCTTATAAAGTGTGACTAATCTAGAGAGGTAGAGGAAACGCATACCTTGACGTAGCCAAGTATCGTCGAATTGGCTAGAGTAGTTCGCTCTCTTCTATACATCCAAATTCAAAAGTCGAATATCCTTCCCGTTGGTGAGTCAATTTTGTTTTTGCAGCTGGTGTATAACAAAATTTCCCGTTTATTAAAAACTCTATCTATTATTTCAAAAACAGTTTCGTACGAGTCAATTTTGTTTTTGCAACTGGTGTATAACAAAATTTCTCGTTTATTAAAAACGCTATATGTTATTTCAAAAACAGTTTCATACGAGTCAATTTTGTTTTTGCAGCTGGTGTATAACAAAATTTCTCGTTTATTAAAAAAGCTTTCAGTTATTTTAGAAATAATTTGAAACGAGCCTTAAGCAAACGAGTCTAATTCATTGTTAATTTTCTTTACAGCATTTATCATGCACTTCTAGAACTCGAGACTTTTGAAAAATCTTTTCCAATCAGCGGTAATTCTAGTTAGGCTAAATAAATAAAAAATATTTCAAAAGAAAAAGGAAACGACAGCGTCGCATTGGATAGGATGGTATTGGCGCCAGAGGAAGGGGAAAGCTCTCGCATTTTCCCGCCAACCCTAGGCAGAACAAAGGGGATGCGACAGCACTGAGCAGTTGCCCACTCTCTCGAACTCTCAATCGCCGTCGTCGCCGATCTTCTCTTTTCTCTGCAGAAAATAAAATGGACATCAGCGAAGAAGTTAGGGCGGTTCACCGGCGAGATCTCCTTGCTTTCTTGGAAGATGGCGTATGTCCTCCTCCTCTCTCTCTCTAACTCTCTCGCTTTCTCTCTTTAACTAGCTTAAGTGTTGCGCAGATATACATGGACGAAATCAAGGCCGTCCTCAACCACAACCGCCGCCGCCTCATTGTTGACATCTCCGATCTCCACTCCTACGGCGACATTGGTTCCAGGTTCATTCACTTTAGCTAGCTTTGGTCAATTCTACTCCCCAAATTAATTTCAGAAGAATCCTAGTTTAATTTCGCCTTCGATTTTCAATTTGCAGGATTCTGAGAAATCCAAGTGATTATATGCAATCCTTCAACGACGCGGCCACTGAAATCGCCAACAGGATCGACCCGAGGTACCTGAAGCAAGGAGAACAACTTCTGGTGGGGTTTGAAGGCGCTTTTGTCTCACGCCGTGTCACGCCGAGAGATCTGCTCTCCGAGTACATTGGTTCCATGGTTTGCGTCCAAGGAATTGTCACCAAATGTACCTTCTTACTCCCCTGCCTTCTTCTATTGCCTTCATTTCATGCTCAATTAACGTCTTGGAAACGACAATTCTTGATAAAAATTTGAGAAAAATGTTTAAAATGAGGAATGATTTTATGAAATTCGAGGTTAGCGGTGTTGATTTAGACTAGGAAATCATAAACCCTAAGATTCTTTCTTTTGTTAATTTTCAATTTAGCTAATGAACTACATCAATTTTTGTTTTTGTTGAAAATGTTAGCTGTGGACGAGTCTAACCCGGTAACTGACTCATTTGTAGGTTCTCTTGTGAGGCCAAAAGTTGTTAAGAGTGTTCACTTCTGCCCTACTACCGGAAACTTCACCTCTCGAGAATACCGAGACATTACATCCAACATGGGTTTGCCTACAGGATCAGTATATCCTACGAGGGTAATCTCAAGTTTTTCGCCTTAATTGTATCTTATTGTATCGTGGGGGATGGGACTTTTTACGAAAATGTATTGCCACAGGATGGAAACGGTAACTTGTTGGTGACTGAGTATGGAATGTGCAAATACAAAGACCATCAAACTTTATCCATGCAAGAAGTTCCTGAGAACTCTGCTCCTGGTCAGCTTCCGCGGACAGTGGATGTCGTAGTTGAGGATGACCTTGTTGATTCATGCAAACCAGGAGACCGTGTGGCGATTGTAGGGATATACAAAGCTCTTCCTGGTAAAAGCAAGGGAAGTGTGAATGGAGTATTCAGGTAGCTTCAACCACGGGGACTGCACAAATTATTATCTTGTTTATCTTGTCATAATCTATTCTAGTTTCATACCTAGACATCATGGCCTTGTTGTGTAGGACTGTTCTCATAGCGAACAATGTTTCGCTGCTCAACAAAAGAACATAAAAAAGATAGCAGAAAGAAGTGATACGTTTGACCTGCTTGGGAATTCAATTGCACCCTCTATTTATGGACATTCATGGATAAAGAAAGCAGTAATATTACTAATGCTTGGTGGAATGGAAAAGAACTTAAAGAATGGTACTCACTTACGAGGGTAAAATTATGATTCAACATTTTCTGTTTGATGGATATTTTACTGTCCTAAGTGGTCCTCTAGCATAAAATGAATCTTGACCAAACAATGTCTTTTTCTTTTCTTTTAGTGACATTAACATGATGATGGTTGGTGATACGTCTGTTGCCAAATCTCAACTTCTAAGAGCAATTATGAACATCGCTCCCTTGGCAATATCAACTACAGGCCGGGGTTCTTCTGGTGTTGGGTTGACAGCTGCTGTTACTTCGGATCAAGAGACAGGTAATGACGTATTTCTATCTCATGCAGTTCAACTTTAGCATTATATGATGTTATTACCAGGAAGATACTAATCTGTCTGTTATCAGGGGAGAGAAGGCTAGAAGCTGGTGCGATGGTTCTTGCTGATCGTGGTGTTGTCTGTATTGATGAATTTGACAAAATGAATGATCAAGATCGTGTTGCCATACATGAAGTTATGGAGCAGCAGACTGTAACTATTGCCAAAGCTGGTATCCATGCATCCCTCAATGCACGGTGCAGTGTGGTGGCTGCTGCAAATCCCATATATGGTTCTGTAAGTGACACAGCTAATGGTCATCAACCATTTAATTTCCTATTTGCAGTTTGTTGTTCTTGTCGTGTTTTATTTATTTAATTAGTTTAATTAATATTAATTTTTGTAACGCTGGTTTTGTATGAATAATGCAGTATGATCGCTCGTTGACACCAACAAAGAATATTGGACTTCCAGACTCTTTGCTTTCTCGTTTTGATTTACTATTTATCGTATTGGATCAAATGGATCCTGACATTGACCGTCATGTCTCAGAGCATGTGTTGCGCATGCATCGGTATCGTTCTGCAACTGGAGGTACTAAAGCAGTAATCTTCTGTTTATGTTTTACTATCTTGGAGAAGTACAAAATAAGTCTGACTAACTTATAAGTGTAGGTGAGGCAATGCTTGATGGGAGCTCGGCATTTGGAAGAGAAGATGAAACTGATAACGACTCATCTGTATTTGTTAAGTATAACAGAATGCTACATGGGAAAAAAGCCGATAGGGGTCGGAAGCGTGATACGCTCACAATCAAGTTTCTTAAAAAGTATATTCATTATGCAAAGAATAGGATTGAGCCTGATCTGACTGATGAGGTTCTGGAACTTTATTTGTTCATTTATTTACTTAACATATATCTATGTTTTCCCTTGATCACGTCATTTGGGTTGCTTATCCCTTCGAATCCTATTTTGCAATCTGCCATATAATCTCTTTCTTGGGGAGAGCCTTTTCAGTTAGTTTTATGAACTTGTCTTCTTAACCTCATCGTTGCATTATGAGGCAGTTTGACAGCTAATAACTGTCAACAGGCCTCTGAACAAATTGCAACAGCATATGCAGAACTCAGAAATGCCAGTTCAAATGCAAAGGTCATCATTTGTCATCATTGTATATTGAGGCACGGTCAATGCAATGACTTTCTGACTATCATCTGATATTATTTTTGCTATTCAGACTGGAGGAACACTTCCAATTACAGCCAGAACTTTAGAAACCATCATTCGTCTCTCAACTGCTCATGCGAAATTAAAGTTGAGCAGAAAGGTACCTTGTTAACTTTAATGATTAATAAAGATCTGATGGGACTAGTTCATTCTGCTCTTCCATTTATTGCGGAAATCAAAACTATGGTTGCTTCATCAGCTTAAGTGTTCTGTCAATCACAACGTTCATCAAACTCAAAGTAATGATAAATCTGCCTTCACAGGTTTCAAAGTCTGATGTTGACGCTGCTCTTAAAGTTTTAAATTTTGCAATATATCACAAAGAGTTGACTGACATGGAGGAGCGGGAGCAAGAAAGAGAGCGAGAATTGGAGAGGAATGGCGCAGCTAACCATTCCGCAGGTCAAGAAGGGTAAGTGTATTTCCAGAAATTGCCTGTATACATAAATTGATGTTTTCAATGTTGTAAAAACTGTAAAGTTCTTCCTTCACTTTTCTCTTATCATAGTGTTCATTTTTGCAGAGCTGACCATTTCGCTGGTCAACATGATGGGTCTGGCAATGGTACTGCTAATAATCAAGAGTAAGTTCACTTTTCAGAAATTGCCTACATGTACTAATTGATGTAATCTCCGCAATAACTAGACCCTATAAAATCTATGAGTTCTTCACTTTTCCCTTACTTATGGTATTGGTAGTGCTGTCATATTCAAAACATTCATTTAACTTCTTCCTGTGTTTTTCCTGTGCTAGTTCAACAACTGAACCCATGGATGTTGACCCTCGCACTGAATCTGCTGCTACTGATAACTCCTCCGAAAGGTTCAGCCTAGATCACCAACCCAATGTGCTCCTGTTTTCTATTTTGTTAAATTCACATATGAGCCATTTGTTTCTAATGCCAATTCAATTTCTTTATTCCTTCTGCACCTACAGGTTAAAAGCACTTACTGATGTTCTAAATCAAGTACGGACAGTACAGCGCTCGGAAAGCATATCCGTTGAGGCCTTAGAGAATGCTGTCAATGACGGAGCAAGTGTTCCTTACTCAAGGGCAGAGATAACCTTCCTATTAGAGGTAAATTTTCATTAAATTCGCGGACGACATACTGCACGAGCATCTTGCAATCATCTGTGCTAAAATCATCGACTTTTTGGTTGCTTCTTTCATACATTTTCGAGCTAGTATCTTTACGCATGAAGGGTAAATAATAACAGCGAACTTGATAATCTTCAGGAACTCCGAAAGAGAAACATAGTGATGGTAGATGTTGGAACAGTGTTCATAATATCGTGAGAGTTTGTAAAGGATCGCCTGCAACTTGTAATGCAAGGTAATGTATGTTGCTATAGCTTCACAGCGGAGACGGATTTGCTTTACTCCCAAGCTACCGAGCCAGCTTTAGTTCTTGAAAAACAGGACAGTTTTATACGATTATAGCCAAGTCTTGGATTTCAGGGAGAGCAGAATTTGGCAACAGATCGGACCCGTCACGCGTCGATGGAGGGGAATACTGAATTTACTTCCGGTGTTGGCCTCATATGTCTTCTTGTCTGTGGTTCTTAGACCTGGAATTAAGAAGCAGATTTTCATTATTGTAATCTGTGTTATTTGCATAATCTCTTTTTAAGAAAGGTGATTAAAAGCTCACGTCGGATCGGACCACTGAAACTGAAAACATGGACTTAGCCTCTCAGGGCCCAGAAAAAAACATGTCCTTAGTAACCATTCATTGCCTTACCAAACTCAAACAAAAAGAAAAACTCGGCTTTCGCGTGGGAGAAGCTTGGGTAGAGACACCGATTTGTAGGACACTTCGCAAAAACTACGGAAAAGATTGGAAGTAGGATACTAAAAAGGTGAATACGGTGGCTGCATTAGTACAAGGAGCATGGAAATACACTACAATTTTGGAGAAGAATTTACATGACACGGGTATATCAGCTGACATGGTTCTCCATTCTAATGATTTTGTAAGTTTTGTACATATGACTTTGTAAGTTCACGTCGGATCGGACCACTGAAACTGAAAACATAGGCTTAAGCCTCTCAGGGCCCAGAAAAAAAACGTCCTTAGTAATGATCATTGTAAGCTTTGTACATATGATGTTGTATAATAACATAAGGTATTATATCGTACTATATAAGTTGCTCTCCAATTGTTCAACAATATAATCAACATCAATCGAAGCATCTCAACCAAGTTTGAATCTCCCTCCTCGTCTTATAATTTTTTTTAGAAATTAATTTAGTGATGAAAACATGATTATTACAGTTGTAGTTAGGAAAGTAATGAAAAACCCCTCCAAAAGAAAAACCCCAACAAGATAGGAAAGGGCCGACCCCACTGTCCCACAACAGCAAATGGGAAGTCAAGACAGGAGAGGGCTGTGTTGGTTGGACTTGGGGGACAAGCAAGGGAGCAAGATAAAGCAAATGGCAGCTCCTCTGCCTTTCATTCTCAGAAACCCTCCTCTACGTCTCTGCACTCACCACCTACTCCCTCCTCTTTCCTACACCACCACCACCGCAACAACCACCGCCAAGCCCTTCTATCTGATTTCCTTCTCTCCCTACAACGCCAGGTCCTTCCCCATCCTAATGTCAACTCAGGTCTCTCTCTCTCTCTCTCTCTCTCTCTCTCTCTCTAACGATGCCATTAATATTAGTTTTTAACTATTAACATGTTAATCTCTGATTTAGATGGAAGGGCGTGAAATTACAGAGGAAGTTACGGAGACAACTGAGACCAATGTGATTGGGACGAAGAAAGTATTTGTGGCCGGTGCCACTGGAAATACAGGTAAAAGGATTGTTGAGCAGCTGCTGGCCAAGGGTTTCGCAGTTAAAGCCGGAGTTCGGAACTTGGAGAAAGCGAAAGCTAGCCTTCCCTCAGACAACCCAGCTCTTCAAATTGTGAGTTTCTTCAAAATTTCAAGTGCTGGTATTGATTCATGCTGGTTGCTCACTTGGGTTTGTTTTATTTTGTTTTGGGGAATGTTTAATTTGTTGGGTTTTCGATCAAACGATCTCTTGTGTTTGTTTGCAGGTGAAGGCAGATGTTACAGATGGTTCTGCTAAGTTAGCAGAAGCAATCAGCGATGATTCAGATGCTGTGATTTGTGCCACTGGATTTAGCTATGGATGGGATGTGTTTGCTCCATGGAAGGTCAATTTGATTCTTTTATCTGTGCAATTAACATCTATGTTCATTACTTAGTGGAGCAACATCTTGAAAAATTTGTAAAAGTCCCACATGGGAAACCTGGAAAACTAAATATTGCATCGAGGCCTTTTGTATAGAACCCTACACCCGCAAGCTGTGAAGGTGATTAAGTTGGGGAAGGTATTGGTGTCGAATGTTGATTAATAGTCCGTTTCTCTGAAATATTAACGCTACTTCTACCTCTGTGTAGTCTATTGCTGATTTTCGACTGGTGTTTGTTTAAGTTCGATCTTTAGGTTGCTTCTTGTTTGAGTTTTACTCTAGCAAATGACTGATGGTTTAAAATCCTGGGTTTTAGCCTCTGGCTATCAATGGAAAGAGAAACATTCCTTATTTGGTCATTGATTGGGGAACGAAATCATCGTTTTAGTGCAGGTTTTGCTGTCTAGAAAAGGATAATTTTAGTGTAGGTTGTAATGGAAAGGACATTCGTAATTCGAACATGCTTGATGTCTAAAAAGGGTTGAATTCAGTGCAGGTTGATAATTTTGGCACAGTGAATCTCGTTGAAGCATGCCGTAAACTTGGTGTGAACCGGTTTATTCTTGTGAGTTCCATCTTGGTCAATGGGGCAGCAATGGGGCAGATTCTCAACCCAGCTTACATATTTCTTAATGTTTTTGGACTCACCTTAATAGCAAAGCTTCAGGCAGAGAATTATATCAGGAAGTCTGGTATAAACTACACGATTATAAGGCCCGGTGGGTTGAAAAACGACCCTCCAACCGGAAATCTTGTAATGGAGCCGGAGGTAACACAATCCGTGTCACACTTTGTGAAAATTTTCCCCATTTGATCGTGTCAAGCGCGAAAACCTGAGTTGCTTTAACCTAATTGTTGTTCTCTTATGTCTCTTGATAGGACACACTTTCGGAAGGCAGCATCTCTAGAGATCTGGTAGCAGAAGTAGCTGTAGAGGCATTAGCGAATCCTGAAGCGTCTTACAAGGTTGTGGAGATAGTTTCGCGGCCTGACGCACCTAAGCGTTCGTATGAGGATCTTTTCGGTTCCATCAAGCAGCGGTGATCGTTCACTCACTGAGTTTCATACCAGATTACTATGTTGTCAAGAGTAATAGTAGTATTCCAATTTTCACTAAATTATAAATAATTCTCGAAATCAAGTTTTTAGTAAAGATATTGAACATCACTTCCAAAAGAAAATAAGCAAGAAAAGAATAAGATGGGGAATTTAAAGGAACAAGTTTAAAAGAAGAAAGCCAGCAAAGAAGCCATGGCCCCTAGTGCAGCAGCAGGAGCACCTAGAGCGGCTGCCGTGCTCTCCATCGGTGCAGGTGCAGGAACACCAACATCTTCAGCAGCTCCGAACGACGCGAAGCTCACAAGAACAATCGTGCAGATGGTGAAAACCATGGCCAATTTGCAACCCTCCATATTTTTCTTCTTCTGAACACTACTTCTCAAGTCACAAGTAGAAGTGTGCTGATGTTTTTGGTTTGAGGAAAATGATGAAGCTTAAGTGGGTTTTGTAGGGAGGGGATTAAGGAGTTTAGTGAATGGGAGCGTGACACATGTCGGATTATGTTGCTTTAACAGCAAGCAAAATGATTTGGGAGTGGTGTGGGATGTGTTTAAAAATGCAAGATTAGGGGAATATAATCTCTTTCCAGACAATTGCTCGGAATATTTGCATCAATTTTAGTGGAATACATGTGAGAGTTTGAGCTTTGTGCTCCATGTGCTGTCCGCACGTTATTCAATATTTTGAGGTCGTTGGATTGCTCTCCACGTTGGGCCTATCAGAATTGAAGCCCACAATGGAAGATGCTAGAACTGTGGCCTTACAAAATTGAGACCCACATAAGTGAGAGAAAAGCCAGAGAAACAAATTACGTAGTGTTATAACAGTGAGTGATAAGTTCAGGATACCGCCATAATTATATTCTCGTTAAAATGCATGATTCGCTCACAATACCGTCCCAAAGGCTGGAAAGTCGAATCTTTCAAGCCCACCTTGGAAGATACTAGACATTGGGCTTTCATGATGTACAAGCGTAAGTATGAGAACAAACCCCAAACACCAACAAACGACTCTGTGGCCCAATGGATAAGGCGCTGGTCTACGAAACCAGAGATTCTGGGTTCGATCCCCAGCAGAGTCGATCTTTCTTTTTATTTTTTTTCTTTCGTTTAATTGTTATTTTGAATGCACTGCCTCAAAGCTAAGTTTGGAATGTTATAACAGTCAGTCAGGATGGCCGAGTGGTCTAAGTTCACTTCTGACATTTTGGGTTCGATCGCCAGACTCAAGTTCTGGTCGTCGAAAGATGGCGTGGATTCAAATCCCACTTCTAACATTTCACCTATTAACTTCAGTTTTTTTTGTAATTTTGCAATTTCTTACATGATCATATTAAATGTTCGACTCCAACAAATAATTTTCACAAACATATGAAACGACGGAAAAAAGACTAATAAATACACTTTTTTGATTGCTCAAGCAAGGAATACATGTCAAATGCTATTGTTCTGTGCCTCCATGGACAATACGAACATGAAGAAACTGCAAACGGAGCCACTTGGTTAGCGTCAATCGGCTGAACTTGTTTCTTTACTTCAAAAATGAACCCTGAAGCGAACAGCAGGATTCGAGATGGCTATTGCAGTCATCGCCTCCTGCTGTTTATCATGTCTGTTCCTTATTACTTGATGCTGCTTTAAGTCTCTCTAACTGTTTCCGTATATAAGCCTGTTTTAACTTCTCACGACGAGCAGCTGCTTGCTCTTCCCTGCGCAGTTTGAGCTCAGATGCCTTCTCTCTCGCTTGATTTGCTTCTTCGTGTACTTCCCTGAAGAAAAAAAAAACACAAGACCAGAAATCATGAGATGACTGTTGCCAGGAGCATAGAGATTTCACTCGAGCAATGAGTATCTGGGGCCAGGACGGCAAAAGACTAGAATCAAGTAATAAGAAACATCCTACGTAACTGGAGAAACCATAACCAAACAAATGATATAGAAAGAGGAGAAGAAGAAAAACCCGAATCCAAACCCTTTTTTCATTTATTGATGAAATAGATTTACTAGTTTTTGTCTCGATAGCATAGTTCTAAAACTACACTCGTTTAGTCATTTATTCTTTTTATGCTTTATTCAGCTCATTTCCTGCAAGAGCATCTTTCTATCTATAGTCCGGCACTCAAGACATTGTACAGGACTTAGTCGAAAATTAACAGAATAGATCGGCAGTCATATATAGAGCAAATGGAAATTTAAAAACAGGATTGCAAATCAAGAATGGGTCGACAAGCTTAAGCAACTCATCCATAGCTCTACTACCAATCCACGGCCCAAATATGAGTCTCAGCTCAACTACTTCACCTTAGAGGCTTAGAAGAGTAACAGCGGCAACATGAAATCACTGTGGCTAAATGTTAAGTACCCAGACTTGCATAGACTATGGTAACACTGAAAGAATAACACTAACAAAAGTTCACTCGAGATAAACGCTTTATCATTATCTGATTGTGATTAGTTAACTAAATTGTCTGTACAGCATATATACTTATAACTTATACCTAAATAATTTGAAATTTTTACCTCACAAAACGCTTGTGAATATCATTGTCCACTGTTGCATCTGCTCGCCCAAGCCCCAAAGGTTTCGTGCTAAACAGCGTAGAAGCATTGCTCTCTCCATCTTGATTCTCCGGAGATATTACAGCAGGTGAATCATGGTGCTGAGTCTGCTGCGGTTCGTCATGCTCAACTCTCTTGCCGTAAAAATCCACACAATACTTTTCTTTATCTTCTTCATCCGATAGCTCACCCCTTGCTAACTTATCGTACAATGCAGCCTTCTTCTCCAACGCTGCATAGCTCGCCGATCCATCCTTCACTGCTTTTAGCTCAAGCTTGTCCCTGAATTTAAATCAACAAAAACACAATTGAATTAGCAGAAATCCAAACTAAACCCTAGATATAATTGAACATCAATTGAAATGTTTCCTAGATCAATGATGAGATGGGCAAGTCAAGGTGTTTAATTCAAACAAATCCGCAAACTTCCCAAAACAGAGAGCTCAAAAATCTCATCATATCACTAAACAGCATCTAAAATACTCTTAATTTGTAATTAGAGAACAACAAGAACCCTAAATTACCAAAAGGAATCCTAACCCATCGAGTACCCTAAGAAAATTGAGGAAAAAGAAAGAAAAGACGTACTTGTGGGCCCGGGCGTCGACGCCGGAGTTTTTGGCGGAGAAGTCGTCGTGTGCGGTAATTCTCTTCTTGGCCCGATGGAACTCGATGTCTGAGCCAGCGAGTTCTTTGGACTTCTTGGATTCTTCTTGGGACTGATAGAGTTGGGCCTTGAGCTCCATGATTGAGGAGGCTCCGACGCCGGCGATGGCGCGGTGCTTCTTCGGCATAATTGAGGACTCCGTCAGCCATCCGAGGGATTCCACCACCACCCTTCTCTTCTTCGGCTCCTCCTCCTCCGCCATTTTTCTGCAATTTCAGGATCGAAATTGTTGGTCGCAAACTCGAGATTTCTGATTTCTTCCTCCTCTGTTTGAATTTGATTTGACTGGCTTCGCGGAATTTCGTTTCTTCACTCGGGCGGGCGGTGGTAAATTGGTAATGGACTCCATCGCGACGGTGTGGCCCGGCCCATTTCAGGACCTATTTGTTCTTATTTCTTTTCCTTTCTTACAATTTTTTTTTTTTCACTTGTCAGAAATTTCTTACAACTTATTTTAAATAAAATGAATAAAAAACATGATAGCGCTATTCACATACGCCATTTTGCCTCCTACAAGTACCTGTGTTAGTTTTTGGTAATTGATATTCTTCAATTCATTGATCCAACGGTCGAAAATTAAAAAAAATGTGAGAAATAAAAATAGAGATGTGAAACCTTGTTTTATTTATCCGATTAGTCCGAAAATCACCCCTATTAGACAAAAACAGCTCAATAAAGTGACTGCCTTGAAGACATACAGTTCAACTGAGAGACATGTTAGCAAAGGAGCTTTCTTGTTCCATTTATAACTGGACTGAAGAGGTGAAGGCAACGAAGGGTCAAACATCTACATGCGATGAAAAGAGACCGAAAATTCAAGTGGCATTTGTTCGTCGAGGTTTAGATGTAGCGGGGAAAGACAAAAAAAGGACACAGAACTTCATCGAAGACGGATTCAGTGGCGCTTCTTCCCTGTTGCTACTTCCCAAGCCTGTAATATGTGGTTCACGATTTCCTCTACTCCTTTCCCGTGCTTCACCTGCATATATAGGGTTCACAGGCATGTAAGTCATGAACATGAAAGTTCAACATTGTTACTATAACGACAAATCATTCAAGAATCGCCTTCCTGGCACATCGAAACATTCCTGACATGATTGGGGAATGGAGACATGGTTAACAGTGTCTCGCTTGAGACGAGAATATGTAATCATAGATTATGTTCATTCCAAAAATAGGCAGATACATCTTTTTGATTTCATGTTCAGCCAATTTTATGTTAACAAAACATGTTGGTGCAGTTGTGCATCTCCTAATATGAGAAGCACAAATATCAGCTCACTGCATGTTAACGACAAATCATTCAAGAATCACCTTCCTGGCACAAACGAAAGATTCTTGACATGATTGGGGAACGGGGACAGGGTTAATAGCGTCGAGGATATGTAATCACAGATTGTGTTCCTTCCAAAATTGAGAAAATACAGGTTTTTGATTTCGTGTTGACCAATTTTATGTTAATAAAACAAATTAGTGCGGTTATGCATTTCCTAACATGAGAATCCCAAATACCAAGCTCACAACATGTTTACAATGCAAAAACAGTAGTGAACGCATGTGATGATACGACCAACCAACCTGAGCAAAGACAAATGGCCCTCCATCTCGCATTCGAAGTGCATCACGCTCCATCACTGCCAAATCAGCTCCAACTGCTGCTGCAAGATCAGTCTTGTTTATCACCTACAATCAAATGTTATCAAGTCATTCACATATCGATCCCTTATGATTTCATTTCTGAAATTGGAACGACACGATTGATGGGTAGACACTCGATAGAAATGGTATCCTCAAAAACGACGAATAAGAATATACCAGAAGGTCAGCCTGAGTGATTCCAGGGCCACCTTTTCGTGGAATTTTATCACCAGCAGAGACATCTATAATGTAAATAATATAGTCGGCCAGTTCCCTGCTGAAGTTCGCAGCTAAATTATCTGCATTCACACAAATTCGATTGGTTAATGTTAATAAAAGCTCAATTCAACCACTTGTTATCATTCACGTACAAATTCCTCCATTTATGCAAACTTTACAATGAGCATTTTCGTCCGAACTAAAATTTTGAACATTTTCCATTGATCAAGCTACATTTTCTCAAATCAATACCAAACTCCAGATGGCTCCATCAATTCATTCAAGCTCAAGTGCAATTCCAACATGAGTATCAGTCATCTGTAATAGTCATTTAACTGTTTCTAGAAAATACCTCCGCCTGATTCACAAAGCAGTATGTCAGTCTTGTACAAGTTAGAAAGCTCCTCAAGAGGGCCAAGGTTAATACTGATGTCTTCACGAATTGCAGCATGTGGGCAGCCCCCAGTTTCCACAGCACGTATTCTTTCTTCAGGAAGTGCTCCATGCTTCACCAAGAACTCACCATCCTCTTTTGTGAATATATCATTTGTCACCTGTAATGTTACACTTAGTATCTTTAGACTTGCCTCAATCAACTTGAAACACGGGTGTTAAAGGTCTGCGTAGACTTTAACAGTTACCATGCGAAGCTCAATACAATTTAGTAGAAAGCTAAACAGTTTTTTGAAGTATTTAGAACATCATAAAGACAAAAGCTTGAATCTTTTGAATTGTTTGTCGCAAGAAAAGTTACTTACTGCAGCAAGACTGTACTTGTCACGCAAAAGTGTACACAGAGCGAGCATCAAAGCAGTTTTCCTGTATGTCGTGAAGCAGCATTTCATCAAATCTCAGTAACCAGTATGATTTGTGCTAGCAAATTGGTATTCAAAACTACGAAAACTAAAACAGGCACGAACGAATTCCAAATCACAAAAAACCCAAAATCATTCAGAAGAAATCAAACAAATTTATAAATAGTTATGCTGCAACAATTTTCTATCATTTAGATTGTATCACAAAGTTATCCAAAGTTAAATTGTATCACTCTTCACTTCCCCCAACGAAGAGGGATTTCCGCGCTTCCCTTTTCACCTCCTGCAATCCTCCTTTCGTTCTATCATTTAGATTCTCCTTTAATTCATTAAATCCAATGGCTAGAAAAGCATAGCGAAATGCAAAAGGCGAAAAGGGGAGCGCGGAATTCACTTCCCTAAAAACAAAGTGCCAATCTTTACATCATTTCTAGTCTTTTTAATCTAATGATGCAATTGATGAACGTGATAATATTTTCAAAAATGTCAAAAATTACCCAACTTACCCAGTACCAACAGGTCCACCAATGCCAATGGTGAAAGCCCTTTCATTGAAATTCCTGGAGACGAGAGGTGGAGCTCTTCTGCTGAAGTAGCCAGGGGAGTATATGGGTTCGTGTGAGTGTGGCGCCAGCCCATCGTGGCTATGGTACACCTTCCCATCTGCGCCCACCCATGAATTCGTTGCAGCTGAACTCCCATGGCTATGATCATGATCATGATCATGGTGGTGATGATGGTCATGGTCATGATGATCATGGTGGTGGTCAGCCATAGATCACTACTGTCTGCAGAAGTTCTACTGTGTCCCTGTGGGTCAAGAGAGGAGGGAGGAGGACGGGGATTCTGGTTGGTTTGGGTGGGTACATACGGTTTGGGAAATTTTATTGAAACCCCAACAGGATTCGCGATGATTTTGGAAATCGTAAATCGTGTCTGTTCATGTATATCATATAATTAGTTTTTGTTAAGTATTATTTATGTTTAATTTTAAATAAAAATATTTAAAATGATTTCCAACTGCACAATATACGAAGAACGGATATAATTCATACATCCTCGGGACTTTTACAAGATCCGGATTCATTGAAACCGAAATTCCTGTTTCTAACCGAAACTTACATGTTTTTACTTTGAAATTTCTATTTTACCTCACGTACAAAATGGGTTAAAAAAAAAAAAGAGAAACTCATCGAGAAGCACCACCGACATCTACCCACACCTCTCAAAACCTAAAGACACCCAATGTTCTTCACCCCCTCACCAACCAACCAACCATGCCACATGCACCTTCCCTACCACCCACAATCAAAGATTCAAATCTCATCCCACCATAGTTTAGAAGCAATACTTCAACATCCTAAGACCAACTCCAAGGGCTAAAAGCCAAATTACCCTCCAAAATTTCCCCTCAAACGCACTCCAACCCAAGGGGAAATTTTGAGCTAAATGCTAAATGCTAAACCAATGTCAAATTCCCCCCGAAATTTAGCCCAGAAATCGGGGTGGACTCTACCCAATATTTATCGGAATTTAAATTTTTTTAGATTAAAATGTTCATAAGATTAATTTACGATAATCTACATATTTATTTTTTTAAAAAAAATTAATTTAACAAAAAAAAGCCTAAATTCATTCTTTAATAATCCCGGGCTAAACTTTTAGGGTAGAATGGTTGAGGTAGAAAAATTTTTTTGGGCTAAAAGCTAAATTTTTCGGGCTAAAAAATTTGACTTTTAGCTCAACCATTGGAGATGGTCTAATGATAAATCAATTAAGAGATATCATCTTATTAAACCAATTTGTTTAATCTCAACCATTAAAAACTAGTCCAATGAGTATGCGTGCAGACTCCCTAGTTTTTCATTCTTCCTTCTCACAAAAAATTCAACTATTTGGTTATAAACCAATTTGAGGTTGAAACTCAATGAATTTAAATCATTCAATGTGAGTGACAAAGGGTTTCGGCGGTCGGAGGTTGGAGAGAGATGGTGTTTTTGTGGAAGGGTGGGGATGGGTAATCAGTACTGTTCTAAAAATCCTCGTCTAGCACTGCCTAGGTGCTAGGCGGCTGGCTACTACCTTGATTAATGTCTAGGCGTTTGAAAATAAAAAATGACCCCTAACTTGTTGAAGTGCCCGCCTAGCCCACCTAGACATGCCTAGGCACCTGTCTAGGTTGCGACTCACTTAGACAAAAAATAAATAACCTTCAGTTTCCAATAAATTCTAAGAGACTTGTTGAATTTTTAAATGAACACACATTATATGTGTGTTCCCTATATTTTCATTATGTTCTAATACTTCATAGTATATATGTCATTTTATTTTGTAGTTTAAAATAAAATTATATATATATATATATATTTAAGTATAAACAAACACTTAATTACACTAAATATAATAGATTTACTTAAATTCGCTTAGTTTGTCTAGACGCTAAGCCCTAACTCACCGCCCAACTAGCATCTAATGTCTTTTAGAACCTTGGTAATCAGAGATATTTTCAATAATGGGCTCGTTTTGGCCTTTTCTTTCTAAACTCATTTAGTATATAGGCAAAACAAGAATTTGAAAATAAAAAATTATAAAGTAGGTTTAGTAAGAGAAATGTTGGGTCTGAGTAAAATTTTCGATACAGTATAGGATAAACTAGTAATCTAGTTTACCAAAACACCCTTAGGCAATGTTTAGAAATGTTAGAAAGCCATGAGGGGAATGTGTTCATTGTACCATTGATGATGTGAATTGTGAACTTTGACTCAAATGTGCTAATTTTTACTAAATGAAAGTTCTACATCACTTACAGTCGCATCGAAAATTATTTTAAAATCTTGTTTGATAGAGAAACTTAACTTATATAAGACTATTCACTGTATTAAAAACTCCACAAAGTTTCCTTCTTATTAGTGTCAATAAATATGTAAACAAATTATATGTATTTGACAGTCTGATACAAAGCACTATACAACTATTGAGTACCCTCTCCATCATCCACTTTATAATGCATGCACTCCATCGCTGTCTCTGCCGTTAAAATCACCCACAGTTGCATACAGTGCATGCAAAAAAAGATTAAAAACAAATAAGCACTCACAAACAAAAGCCAAAAATAAAAAGCAAAACCCATGTTGTTTTAGTCAAACAAGTTCTTGAGTGCATTGACTTTGCCACTAGGCAGCTGAGCTGGCAACATCTCCTTTTGATTTTGGTGCTGCCTTTGAGCAATTTCCTCATCTTCTTGCTGTTGCTGCCTGTTTGTGCCTAAAAGCACTCCTTGTTTTTGTATATAATCTCTTTTGTCTTGGAAGAGATAATACGCAGCAATGAAGGAAACCTCAGCTGTGAAAAGAACAGTCCAAAGCCCTGAGCTTCTCTGTGTTCTCTTATGGTAGGCTTCTAATCCAGTGTAGATGTTGATTATCCCTACCAAGGATATCACTGTCCCAAGCATCCAATGTGCCAAGTACCATACACTTCTTTCTTTCTTTCCCCTTCAAGAAACAAAAACCCTCATCCCAAATGCAACAATAACGAGAGATCAATAGTTTAACAGTTTAGTGCATGCCTTTTAAATTTTGACAAAAACAACTTTTAGAATTTCAAAGTGTTACACTGTTGACTTCTTCTTCTGTTCAGAGAACAAAAGTTTTAGATTGAAGGAGGGGCCGGCCAATGGTGTAAGGATTCATAACTTTAGGGTTGATTTTGTCAATTTTTAAGACGTGGACCAAACTGTCACTGAATTAACTATTATGGATTACCTGCGAGGCCTGAAAAATCCTAGTAGGGTTTGTATCCATATGGCAGCATAAAGTGCTAGACCTAATCTTTGGTGGTTGTTGTTGAAGGAGTTCTCAAAGTTTCTTAGGGACATCACAGCACCAGCGGTGGCAAGAAGCACCGACAGCACCTGTGTTATAGATCAAAGTTTAATCAGATGACATCATATACGATAACAGATGTATTTAACATGCCTGAATTATTGCGGCGACGGAGTAATTATGCCAGTATATGCATGGTGTATCAGAGAGTGATAATCTGAAATGATGGTGATATTAGTTTGCAAAATTGATTAGTGCAGGATCTTCGTGAGTTGGAGGAGACAAATTCATGAGTTAAGTAGAAAGACAAGAAAAAAACCTGCTTTTTCTTGATGTTCAAGTAATTAAATGGTTATTGACAAATATTGTTGCTTTGTTTTTCAACTTTAAAATAATTAAATAAGGGTGCAGATAGGTTTATAAACAAAAAAAGAAACAGTGGACAGCATGATTAAAGTTAAAGTGGCTTCTCATGATTATTGAGAAGAAAGATCAAAACTCGAAAGATTACTGATGGTGTAACATATAATCTTAATTAATCAGGATAATGAAATTAATGATAATTGGACAATTAGTGTTCTTAGTTATAATTAGATAATTTCGGAAAACAACTCAAATTCGAAGGAGAAAAGAGAAAAAATTAAGAACTTGCCTGCAAAACAATATGGAGATAGAAGAGAACTTTGGCTCTTGTTGCCCCACGTTCCTCTCTAGCAGACATTCTAATTACAAGTATTCCAAGGGGCATCAAAAACCCAATTGAAAACCATGAGAGGAGGCCATGAACTGTAACGTTAAACGTCATCCGGGGACTCATCTGCGAAAATAACAAGCCGAGAAGGAGAATACGAAGAAAAAATTCATCTGAAAAGCCCGAAAAGGAAAACAAAACCGATTTAATTAAGAACGTTACCTTGTGAATATTTTCTTTTATGTTCTCGTGACTGCTGTGTTGGTTGACATCTGCATGCAATGAGCAACTAACAAATGGTAGAAGAAGAAGAAGAAGAAGATAATATGTAGAAATAGTGAAAGATGCTAGCTTGAGAGAAGTCTGCATTCTTCAATTTCTGAGTGAAACAATTCCAAGGAAGAGAAGAACCAAAAGCCTTTACCTCTCTCTCTCTCTCTCTCTCTCTCTCTCTCTCTGTGATTTCAGTTTTTCATCATATACGAAAGCACTTTTAGGATGTGTAGTACTGTTGATCTGATTTGGATGGGTTTCGGGATAATTTGGAGAAAGAAAAGTTGGATATGTGTTTAACTTCTCAAGGCTGGTTTGCTGTTGTTTTTTGTTTTTATATTGCTTGTGTCGTGATAATAAACATTTGTGAAAAAAAAAAAAAAAAAAAAGGTAAATGTTTGGTAAACTATAATGCTTTTAGCAAAAATAAAATATGAGATAGTATTGTCAACATGAAAATTTCATTAAAAGTTTCTGTTCACTTGCCTCACATGAAGAAGAAAAAAAATGCATTTTTGAGAAGCATAGTTAGAGCTGCTTCTATTTTATGCTGTTTTAGACTCATAATTTGGAGAGAGAAAAAAAAACACTTTTTTTTTCTCATACAAAATACAATTTTAGCTTCAACTTTTTTAAAAAACTGTTTGAAAAGAAATTTAATTAAGCAAACCCAAATTGGCCCATCAGAAGGAAAAACACCTTAAAACTATAAGTTTTTATATACAAAAACTTTAGAGAGCTTAATTGGAAAAGAAAAACCTCTAAGCTAATCACTTGTCATGTTATAAATTATTTTGAGTTGTCAACATGGTTTGTTTCTGAAGTACAAAACTCAAATGTTAGTTTTATAAAATGTCATGTTATCACGAATTCACAGACATGGAAGACTCAAAAATAAAAGTATTACCGTTTAAGCTATAACAGCTATAGGCTTTGTAGCATGGGGCAATTCATGGATGGTAGTTAGTGTGAGAGAGAAGATAAGATAAAGAATTAAGGGTGAAAAAACAAGAAGGATGGTCTTTGAGAGAATCATGGGATGAATGTTAGGTGGATAATTTCAAAAACTTAGATCAAAGTTGAAAGTGGTAGGAAATTGCCGGGCTTTTTGGTCTTACATACAAATGATGATTAACGCCAAAAAAGGTGTCAGTAAAAAAAGACCAAACTTTAAGGTCGGTGGACTGCTTAATCTTAATGGAAGAACAACTTAGGGGCTTAATTGATTTTTCTAGCTCGTTTTTTAGTTTCACATGTAATATAGTATAGTGTGTCCTTCGATTTTATTGCGTTTGCTTGAATTTCAGACAAGAGACAAACTCATACGTATATTTTTGTGAGACAAGTCTCTTGGATTTGTTATATCATGTGAGCGGCGTATAAGCTTAAATTTAAAGCACCAGCCCGTTTCATAAAACAGGCGTACGCAAGCTTTTTCTTGACCTTTTATAGTTTCTTTTTCATTGTGGAGAATGGCATATTATTCCCAAAAGTAATTCTACAGTGCTTGATTATCTATTCTATTAAGAGAACACTCTTGTCAACTTTTTACCTCCTTTTTCCTGTTTTACCCTTACTTTTGATATACAATATTAACATGAGGAGGGCAAATATTAATTTTGTACCTTTTGAGAAAATGACAATTATATCCCTATTTTTCTATTTTACTCTCTTTTTTTAGAAAATAACAATCATATACTTATTTTTTCAATTTTTACCCTCACTTTTGATACACTATTTACATAAGGAGGACAAAACAGTAATTATGTAATATTGAAAAATTGTTCACACACACAAAGTTTGTGCTCTCTGCTAGTTACTTATGGAAAAAGGCACACATTGACCGCCTGCCGACTTTTTTGACCATCCTTGTTGAGCTCTTACAAAAGGATTCAAAGTTAACTTTTCTTATGGATTTAAAGTTAATGGTAACTAGCAGAGAGCACACATTTTGTATGTGTGAACAATTTCTCAATATTACATAATTATTGTTTTGTCCTCCTTATGTAAATAGTGTATCAAAAGTGAGGGTAAAATTAGAAAAATAAGTATACGATTGTCATTTTCTAAAAAAAAGGGTAAAATAGGAAAATTGAGATATAATTATCATTTTCTCAAAATATACAAAATTTTACCCTCCTCATGTCAATATTGTGTATCAAAAGTGAGGGCAAAATAATAAAAAAGAAACAAAAAGTTGACAAGAAAGGTTTTCTTAATGGAATAGAAGATTATATAATTTTATGGAGAATGGCATATTATTCCCAGAAGTGATTCTAGCCCCTTCGTAGCCACGTCCAAACGGGTTCGTTTGGAACTATTTCTTCAACAAGCACTTTTACTTACAAGAAGGTTTATTAAAAGCCTTTCTTAAAAGCGTTTCTACACATAAGTACTTTTAACTTTTTTTATCAAAAATGGTCTAAAGCGTTTCTTGTTACTTTAAAAACGCTTTGAAGCACAAAATATGAGTGGCATACTAATTTGGATGTCATATCTCTCATCAAAAGCAGGAATATCTGGTATGATTTGGCAAAGGTGTTGATGATTTTGAATAGGTAATGAGTAAACTTTTTGCTTAAAATGATAGTATTTAATCTCCCACTTGAATTCCTGACCAACTGAAAAATTTACTTTCTTGAACAAAAATTGAATCTCCAAATTCCATTAGCTACACTTGCTAAATCATAACTTATCGAACCATAAAAACTACCATGTTTCAACACGCATCTGCCACGCCTGGTAGATTTAATATCGGTAGTGCTATCCACACACCTATTTTTACTTTTCACACACATCTTTTAACAGTCAGATCAAATGAATTGAAGATCAATAAGCAAAATAGTAAGGGTGTGTAGGAGCCTAGGAGGTAAAAGTGTGTGTGAATAGCACAATCCTTTAACATTAGCAAATGAAAAAAAAAAAAGTACAAACAGTATGTAACATTCATAGAGAAACAACCATTTGAGTAAGGCAAAATAAATCAAATAGAAAATCGAGGGTAACATTCAACAATATTAGTGAAAATCGAGCAACAAACATAATCAATTGCAAATTTTGAAGTGAACAAAAATGGGATTTAGAACCCCCAAAGGTACTCCATTGTTTGTCCTTCTAAGATAGTCAAAACAAATACCCAAAAAAACAGTAACCGAGAGTTCTACCAGAACGATTCAGAGACTTATCTGACACTAACCCCTGTTTAAGCTTGTTGGTCGAGTTACCAAATTACATAAACAAGTTGGGCCTCGATGCCTTGTACGTAGTCTTCAACTTCCTGGATGGTGGTCTAACCTTCCTGAACACCAACGGGAACTTGATCTTGGAGTTGTGGAATTGCTTGGTGCTTTCCCTCTTGCAAAGCTTAGCGGGGATGGTGGCAGTCTTGATGATCTGGATACAAGGAAACCTGACCCTGTGGCGAGATGCCATCTCAATGTACATCTGCTCCACGGCACCATTTAGAGTGGTGTCACGGTACTCCTTGTACATGTTGTGGTAACCTGTCCTGCTTTGATACCTCAACCAGATACCGTAGTTCTTGATGGTTGTTGGGTTCTTCTCAAAGATCTGCAAGTAGATTCCAAACAAATAGATAAATACTATCTCCGACAACATCAAGAATAATCTTAAATCTGGCATTTGAAACATCACATCAATAATTATGAAAACAGAACAAATGATGAATACCATAGACTTGAACAAAAAGCCAACACGCTTACAGAAGCACCTTGCATAGATATAACAGTTGCCATTCTCACATTAAAGTGCTAGACCATAAAAGACAAAAATGGAATCGAAAATGTAATCCAAGAGCTATAACAATCAACACGTCCACGTTCCTAAAGACATGTAAGAATGCTGCATTATGCATACGGATCTGTAAAAATGCGAAGACATGCTATCTAGATTTCAGGCTAAATACCAAAATAAGAAAACGGCTGTAAAAATGACAAAAAAGTCAAAATGATGTATTGTTCGTCATTGGCATTAACTTCATCTCGGTGCTCTTCGTCACCGTCGACGCTGTTTTACTTCATTGTTAATACAGTTATTCGTCATTGTGAAAGTAATTTTGGAATACACCAAAAACATTGAGATTAGTTCGACTTTGAATTATCAAAATTGGTTTTATAAAACTAAAGAAAGAACAATCACAGCAGCTATGTTGTATGTATTCTGAACCCACATTTCGCCATCGAAAACCGCATTTAGGACGAAAGAGAAAATAATATAGATCAAATCAAATTAAACACAGATGGAAAGTGGAACAAACCTCATTGATGGCAAGAACTTGGCCATTGCTTTTCTTCACCTTCTTCAGCTTCCTCAGAAAATACCTAATCCAAACAAAATCAACAGTTAAATATTTCAGAAACAACCCAGAATTCGACCATGCAAATTCGGGATCAGATAATCCGAGCTCAGGCCAAGGTTTTATACCAGAACTTGGACTTGGCGCGAACCTCATTGGTGGCCCACAGCTTCATTCTGTAAATCTTCGGCTGCTCATCGGTCTCGGTGGGGAGCTTCCTCCCGACGACCTGGTACTGGTGGAACTGTGACACAAAAACGACGCCGTTAGTTGCAGCTCAAAACCCTAAAACCTCCATTTCTGGGAAGAGGGGGATATCGGAGAAGAAGATACGCAGGCTTACCTTGAAAACACCCATGTCGGAGAATCGGAGAAGACGCGGCTACGATCTCTGAGGGTTCTCTCTCTGGTGTGAGAAGCGCAGGCTAGGGTTTTTGTTTTGTTCATATATCGGGACGAAACCCTACTTCCATTGATGGAATGAATATGGGCTTTTTTTAAAGGCCATCAGTTGGCCTTTTTACAAGTGGGCCTGTTTGGCAAACCCAAAAATAAATCTTTCTAGTTTTGGAGAGAGGATCCTCGCCGGATCCTTTTTTTGAGGATCCTGAAGATCCTCTAATCACATCCGTTCATTATATGCTAGTTTTTGTCAGGTACTGTTTATATTCAATTTTAAATAAAAAAAATTTACAATAATTTCTAACGGCATAATGTACAATAAACGATGTGATTGGAGGATTCTCAGAATCCCCTTATGAATCAGATTTTCAAGTAAAAAGTAGAAAAGTCATAATTATTGTGACTGAAACTAAATTGAAAGGGGTGCTAATTGAAGAAACTTGGATTTGTGATGCCAACAAATGGGACTGATGAAAACAAAAATTGAAATGTAACAGTTATATTGTCACATGATGTTACTAATAGGCAGTTTGACAGTCTCGCCAACCAATTTCTGGATGGATGGATTGCCATTTGCATAGCCTAATGAGCGACGAATGCCGCTTTTGAATAGTATGTTGCATCGACGAGTCCATGTTTTTACGGAATTTCATTGAGAAAGAAATCTAGAAAGGTGTACGGCATTGGCCATCTGGATATAATCACAAAATAATTGTATGTATGTAGTTTTGAGTAATGAATGCTTGCAAATTCTGAGAAAATAGAACACCATATTGAATGGATACAACAAACACCCGCTACTCTCCTGTCAAGTACATGTGCAGGACAAACCAACATATGGATCATCAGCACTAGCCATCCCCCACAGCTCCTTCGAGTGAAGGCTAGGTACAGACACAGGATTAGATCATCGTTCGCAGTCCTTAATGAAACCTCATCAGGTTTTCAGCTCCATTCGTTACGCCCAGAGTAATAGCAATCACAGCAAGAATCGACTGAAAAAAATGCAAAAACATAATTCAAAATGAAAGCAAAGCCATGTATATACCTTGCTTCTATCAGTCAAAACAATGAACCCAAAAAAAACACAAGGGTACAGCTTCTATTTCTATTTTCTAAACTAACTCGAGCATGGCTGGAATGAACATCAAGTAAACAGCATTACCCCAATAACGAAGAACACTCGATGTCCTCAATACAACTGGACCACACCTTAGAATTAGAATATGGTGGCTTGAAACAATCGCTAAATTCGTGAAATGGTACGTAGACTTAGAACAGGCAGTAAGGAAATTACTAACTTTGGGTGCAGAAATTAAGGCTCAAGCAATGTGCCACTTCTCATGAATTCTAAACTTGGGGGACTGGGGATAGAATTAAGGAACGGGATCGAACACTTGCGTGGAATGCGGAACGTGGAGATATAGAAAGAAAGTAGGTCTTGGAGCCCAAGCATTGTATGCCTTTAAAGGCCAGCATTGTATGCCTTTAAAGGCCAATAATCACACCAGCATAGGGAGGTGAGAGAAATGGTATTAGGTATAATGTACGGCAATTTGAACAAACATTGACTTGAGGAGTCGGAGTGTTTTTTGCAGGTACCCCCTCCTCCCTCATTGATCGCAAGCAAAGATGGTGTCATGCGTGCTTCTCAACATGGTTACAATTACTTGTTTAAGAATTGGTGGACCCCAATTTTCCCGCTCCAACACTAATACATACTTAACCAGGGGCAACAACCCTCCACCCATAACACAGACGAGGTTATACATGAACTAATGGTGGATGAGGTCATTCAGGAAATCCATAACGATAAGACCTTTCGCAGATTCCAAAGTGGGGCTCTTGCATAACTAAAACTGTAGAAATCAGAGTCTTTCGGATTTTCACTTTTCTAATTCTTTTGAAGCACTAATAATGCCAAATTAGTGACATTATAAAGTTCATAACCAACATCAAGCACTTATCCAAAATTTCAACTTTCGAATAATATGCTAAATAAGATAAGCCTGAACCTTATGCATGAGTTCCTATTATGTGCATGGTTATCTAAAACTAGATATGTCTAGTGCCACTGTGTTGTTGGTTGGAAATTTTATGAACATCAAGCGATCGCTATTTCGTGAATCCTCAAACTGTTAATATGTCTTTGGGAGTTATGCAATAAAAAGAATTACTTGCACATGTAGATTTTATGATACGAAACATAACGAAGGAACACTTACAGCTATTGTGCACGCTACATATCCAGGTTTTTCTCTGTAGTCCACCTGCACACAAAGTAAGATGAAAGTTCCAACATACCAGGGGATGCCTCCAAGAAAGAAACCTGCTATAAACCTTCAGAAAGAGTCAAATTGTAATCTGTCAGTATTTAGTAACAACCAGCCAGAAGAATGATAACGGAACAATTCTCGTTAGTCAAAAGTTTAAAATTTTCATAGGTAAGCATCAAGAAGACTTTTTCTTATCATGATCCTATAATGAAGTCCGGAACTAGCAGAACTCCCTAAATTTTAAAGATCAAAACTTGTCCAACAAATGATCATCCCATTATAATCTGCTTCCTGTGAGAACATACTGGGTCCAACCATGTAACTACTAACCAGCGGCAAGATTCGAGCTGCCTTAGCCAAGACGGCACAGGTTGGTGTTGTCCCACAACTGACGATGGGAAGCCACTGATATATAAGCAGAACTAAAAAACAGAATGCAGCGACTTAACGGGCAGACACATAGCTAGTAGAAAAGTCCATGGTTTGTTCGGGAAAGGAAAGAATTCCTCGATGGTATTCGTTCGATACATTAGTTAATTATGTCAGGACAAATGATGATCAACACACAAAACCAACATGTTTTGTATCGATCCGGTAGCTATCCATTCTAATTCTTGACTAAATCTTCCACAACCAATATGTTCTCTGGGAAATTTATGAATTGTTAGAAGGTTTCAATGCTTACAACACAAAAACAAAGCACCGTAAAACAAAACTTCAAAAAAAGGATGGAACGACAATGAATCAACTTACAATAACCAGCCTATGCCGATGCCACAGCAAGGAAGGCGTCGTTCCCTTACAGGTCTTCCTTCCACAACAGCATAACCTTCAAACCCCAAAAACACGATTTAATAAAACGAACAAAAATTATAAGGAAATTAAAAAATTCATGAGCACGGAAAAGAAATTGGGTATCGATCATACCAGTAACCGTTTGGTATCCATGTTGGTGATGGTGGTGGTGGTGGTGGTGATGATGGGGAGGCAACGGAGGACGGCCGGATGAACGGGGAGGTGGGACCGGCTGAGGAAACCCGACAACCGGCTCAGGAGGTGGCTGCGGCGGCGGAGGGTAGTAGTTGGCGACGCCTTGGAAGGTGCCGTAGTACTGCTGCTGGCTCTGGCTCTGCCCCTGCTGGTCGCCGGAAAGGCCTCTGGTCTTGGAGTCGTCGCTCATTCTTTCGATCCCGAATTGAGAATTTCGGGTGGATGCTTTCGATCAGCAACGGGCGGTGGTTTGATGGTGGGCGCTGGCCGGGCGGGATCGTAATTTTGCTAGACTTCAGGTCCATTTTTATTACCCATTTTGGGATTCTCTACTTTGGGCCTTTATAGGGGCCCAAGTATATTTCCAAGGAAGTGTGGGCTCAAGGATGATAGCTACTAGTTAATTGAAATTGTCCATTGTGTCCACGTTCGAATCTTTCTTGTCGTAAATTATAACTTGACATATCTAAGTGGAAGGAATTTAACCACCACGTCACAAGACTAATCCTTTTTATTATTTCTCTTGGGTAACAATATGCCATTTTCATGTTGAATTTAATTATTAATCCATTCATACGTTTTGACATGGTCATCAAATTTGATCCTGTATAAGTATATTCCATCCACTCTATGTTGCAGTTGACATATGTGTCGAGATTGAGCCGGAATCCGAATTCAAACTGCGCTCCCGTACTAGGAAGATTCCAGCTAATGTCATCGTCCTCGGATTTGCAAGTGCAAGTGAAGTCGACTGGTTTGTGGTCGCCATTGTTGACAATGCGCACGAAGTACTTGGTCCCGATGATACAACCAGAGCTACAGGTGCTATATTGGCCGATGGCCAAGGCAACGAGTAGCAGAAGTTAGCAGAAAGTAACCCCTTTCATCTTGTCAGCTACCTTCTACTCAAACTCTGGATATGATTTGATGATTTGCTTATATGTTTTTCTAGAAGGAAAATATTACTGCGGTTGATTTCGTAGCAACGAAAACCAAATCGGGTTGACGTCGTGCATGATTTTCTGGCAATAAAACCAAATCAGGTTTCATTAATGCATAGGATATGAAGTATTTAGAACTAACGGAACATTTAGCGCAAAACCAAGCACAGTATAAGACTTGTTACCCACGTATCTACGTTTGCACTTGATGAGTTGCACAAGTAATATGAATTAGCAGAATCCCTTGCGGACCAGAATCACAGCAAGAAGGAAATTGCACCAACAGCAAGAAGAAAATAGACCAGAATCACAGCAAGAAGGAAATTGCACCAACAGCAAGAAGGAAATAGACCAAAAGATACTTCATTGCAGACCAGAATAACAGTGTAAATAACAAAACAAAACTTAAGAGTAGCAGAACTCTTTCCGAATTAATTGGAAATAAATCTTTGGAAAAACATAGGAAAAAACTAGAGTTTCGAAACCAAAGGTAACAGCGCCTAATTTCGAAGTAACATAATCCGACTGAGGCACAGCAACCACCCTGACAAGCAATTCTGACCAGATACGAGGTGCAAGCTTACAGCCTCCTTCCTCTCCTTCCACCCTTTCTACGGGTGCTGTCAGTTGGAATTGGAGTCACATCCTCTGAAAAACGATATTAAAAAGGTCAACATTCCATACTCATACAGACAGTTACAAAAAGAATATCAAAAACATGTACGCCAGACAAAATTTGCACTCTTGGACAATGACAGGTTTACTGAAGAAATTAAGGGCATACCTATACGACCAATTCTCATTCCAGAACGAGCAAGAGCCCGGAGGGCAGACTGGGCACCTGGACCAGGTGTTTTAGTTTTGTTCCCGCCAGTGGCACGGAGTTTAATATGAAGTGCAGTAATGCCCAATTCCTGCATTCGTAGAAGTTAAAACACATTAAATGGAAGCAGAAAGAAAAATATTATAATACTAGGAATAGTTCGCTGAGGTTTAGTAATAATGGGCACAATCGAACAAAATGGTCCAGATGACCTTCACAAGAAATATGATTAACTCAAGAACAGAAAGAAAAATAGACAGTGTAATGAAAATAGATCAAGACCTTGCATCTCTGCGCAACATCCTGTGCTGCAAGCATAGCAGCATATGGGGAAGACTCGTCCCTGTCAGCCTTCACCTTCATACCACCTGCATTTAAAGAAAAGCATACTTTATGAAACATAACAAATTACTATTTGTAACGAAACATCTGAACATATAGGTGGCTAAATTCATCACGCTACAGTTCGGATTATTACACATTCTTTGAAATAAAACTTACAAATATACCAAAGCATTCACTAAACGAAACCCCAACACGAGCCCAAGGTGTATGAAATAGAAAAGCCTATCTAGCTGATCTTAAAGTCTAGAAGAGAGAATTTCCTTACCAGTAATACGGACAAGGGTTTCTCTTCCTGAAAGATCAGTCACGTGCTGAAACATAAACAAGGAATCAACATTACAACCAGAAGAATAGACAGAATGAATTATGCATAAAATGCCTGGAAACAGATCAGTTTACTTACAATGAATGTGTCATTGAATGACGCATAAATGTGTGCAACACCAAAGGCATGTTCTCCATCCTTGAGGATGGGACCAAGGGTGACATTGTCTTCCTTTGGCTCTCTAACCTTCTTCTTCGACTGCGGAACACATAAAAAAGGAACATGTCAAAACACGAAGATCTAGCGCCAACAATGATACGCAACAAACACAAATAATGCCGAGCACATCTTTACATCAGACCCACTCCTCCAATTGAAATTTCTATCTGTAGTGCCAATGTCTTCCGATTGAAAAACAAACATTTGAACCATCCACTCCAAATAACAATATTTTTCAAAACACTGAAAACAATCGAAGTAGAATCGACAAAGTTTTCATTTTCATAATTACTTTCATTCCTATCAACAAAAAATGAACTTATCACATCAGAACATGATTAGTATATACAGAAAACTAATAGATAAAAGCCGAAATCAAATCAACCTACAAAATTGACTGAAACCCAATTAAAACAACACATCATCTGCATCATAACCCAACATTAAACTAATTAAAATTCAGAAAAAAGAACCCAAAAACCAGAACCCAATTTTCCATTAGCGGCGTTCGCACCAAATGTTAAGCATTCGAAAATCGAAAGACCATTCAAAAACCCAATATCTGCACAAAACAAATATCTAGGAGGGTTCTTGATCTGAAACATAGCCACATAAAAATGGAAGATTGGAGATTTACACACACCAAAAAAAGCTCACGGATTGAATTCTGAACAAAAATGAAGATGAAATCGGAGACGAAATACATGAGAGAGAAGAGATTGGCTTTGAGATTTGCTTACCATGGCTGCGAAACGGATAGATTAGGTGCTAGGGTTTGGTGGTGGCTGCTGGTTGCTTTGGCCGACTGTAAAAAACCCTAAGCAGAGAAGACTGAGGGGCGTGAGTAGGCGCTTTCGGTTTTATATCAGAGACTAGGGTTTTGTGTGATGAGAGTAAAGACTTTGAATTTGCAAAAATGTCCCTTGATTTATTAAATATTGTGATTACTCACCTTCAGTTTTGGGTTTTGCTTTTCCTAATAACCCTCCACCCTTATATTTTACTTCATTTTCAATTTTCTTTTCTTAGGAATTTAGTGATAAAGTATTTTTTTAACAAACGATATAATCTATATTAAGATGAGGGGTGGGCTTAACCTTATAATAGACTAGTAATAATGTGGTTCAAATTCACCTTTAGTGAGAATTAAACCTAAGACCTCTCACTTACAAGTGAAGAGAAATATCACTAGATCGTAGGGGTGGGCATAAAAACCGCCAAACCGGAAAATCGAATCGAATTGTGACAAAAAAAGGGTTAAAAAACCGCGTTAACCAAAAAATTCAAAACCGGAACAAAAACCGAACCGAACCGTTTCAAACAGTTTTGCTTCCGGTTTGGAAATATTAAGAACCAAACCGAACCACTTTTAATATAAATTATTGTTTTATTATTCTTTTTATATAGATAAGACATTTTTCCAAGAAGACCATGTGCATAAGCCCAATATTTTTCTTCACTTCTCCCCCCTCCTTTGTTGTTTTATCACTTTTTTCCCCCTACATTATTTTTCTCCATTTTTTGCCTGTATATTATGCGTTATGTACATTTTAATTTTAGTTTAAGATCTACACTTTGGTCTTGATATGAGCTTTTCTATATTTTGATTTATATTTAGAAGCACACTTTATATCCTCCGATCACAAATCTTGTAGATCTAGTAGTGGAAACTCAAATTTACTTGAATTTGTGGTTGAAATATGTGTTTGGTATTAGAAGTAGAAAATTAGAAAAAACATATATATAATTTTGGTTAGAACTGTAAATCAGCATGAACCGAACTAGAATCATCATGGACCGAACCGTACAGTTTTAGTAATAAATTTAAGCGGAACTGCACCAAACCAAACCGTTGAAATTTTTCAGTTTCGGTTCCATTTTGAGGGTGGAACTGGGCCGAACCGAACCGTGCCCACCCTTACTAGACCGTAGTACTATGGCTAACGATAAAGTATTTAAATGTTTATATTTAATGAGTTAATTTGTACACATATGTAGGTTAACACTATTCACAAACTCAGTTCCACCTCTCACACACCCATAACAATTTTTGACCACCGCTTTTCTTTAATTCAATCAACCCAACAACCGAAAATTAAAAGGAGTACGTGAAAAGTAAAAACGGATGTAACACTAGATAGTTAATGAGTTATACATTGTTAATCACTCGTTTGATCCTACTTTACAAATGTCAAGATTTGAACCTTAGATTTTCAAGTCTTCATTCAAAGATTATCTCTTAAAAAATCAATGTTTTAAAAGGGTCGCCTCAGGGGGCGCCTTGGGGGCCTATGAGGCTGGGCGTCAATGTTCTTGCCTATGTTTTGAGGGAGTGGGCGGAAGGCTTCGTCGGAGTGCGTCTTGGTGGCAGAATCACGCCTCAGGGCATCCGGGGCTTTCATCTAGGCGTCTTTTTCTTCAAAATACAGGTTTTCTGAAATGTTTTATGCTGTTCTAGTTTCAATGAAGAAAGAGAGACTTTCTCTTCAAATCTCATAAATTTCCATAATAATTGCTTCACTCAGCCTTTATTTCATTTTAAATACCCTATAAATACTTCACCCCATTTATTTCATTTTGAATACCCTATAAATACTCCACTCAACCCTTTATTTTCCTTTAAATTCCCATAATTATTGCTTTATATCATTTTAAATACCCTATAACTACTCCACTCAGCCTTTATTTCCTTTTAAATTACTTATAATTGCAACATTCAACCTTTATTTTGCTTGAAATTCTCCTATAATTGTGACCATTCATCATTATTTTCCTTAAAGTTCTCTATAATTGCTTACAATAAAATAAATAATTATAACATTTTGAGACTATATGACATAGTTTCCAAGTACAACTAGACTTAGTAATAAAGAAGATGATATTATCTTTGATTTAGTTATAGTTATATTTGTTTTTACAAAATATTATATTGTTATAAATATACTTATATATAATATATATTAATTTTAGCTTCCGTGACGTCTCACGTCTTGCGCATAAGCTGGGCTATCCATTGGACTCCTCAGCCACACCCCCGCCTTTTAATACATTGTAAAAAATTCAACCAAATGAACAAACCGTTTAAGTTCGTAACTGCAAGCGTATAAACAAATTCAGGCATTAGTAAAATTTGTAAGATGATCCAAGAACTTTTATAAGAAAATCTAAAAAATAAACTATTAAGATCACAATGTTCAATGCACCATTTGTATTGCGTAACTAGCGTTGAAGTTGGAAATCCAGCATGAAGCCCAAAACAGGAGAGTCCAACTTAAGTGGGCTATATCGTTAAAGCATGGCCCATTCTATAGTTTCACTTTCGTTAGCAAAGTTTCGCACACAAGTTTGAAATGTACATTTACTCTATTTTCTCAGCAACCAACAATTACAGAATAAAGACTAAAAAACATACAAAAATTAATTCTAGTAATCCTAGCTAGTAGCTACAAAGAATGGTAACAACGTCGAAATGCTATGCAGAAATAAGGCCAAGATAACCCGCACACACCGCGAGTATGGACGATATAGCGTATGCACCAGCAACAATGACTGGTTCTTTTAATCCACATAGTTCAAGGTGGTGATGAAAGGGTGCCATTCGGAAGAGACGGCGCCCAGCTCCATGTAAACGCTTGGTTGTCTTGAAGTATAGTACCTAAAAGAGCACTAAGATATTAGTTCGCAGAAAAACTGAACTCTAAAACCAATTACGAGAGTGAAATCCATCCATTTGCCTGAATCACAAAACATAATCAAACGGACAGAGGAATGAACGACATGTTTACTCGCATGGGTAACAAACCTGCAAAATAACCGATGAGGCTTCGATGACAAAGATTCCAGATGAAATAAATAAAGGGAAAAACATCCCTGTGCAACAAGCCATTGCAGCTAACCCTCCCCCAAGTCCCAGGGATCCGGTATCACCCATGAATACAGATGCCTTGTATCGGTTGTGCAAAAGAAAACCGACACAAGCTCCTGCCATTGATGCTCCAAATATAGCAAGGTCTGTTTCGTAAGGCAGTCAAAAATTTAGTAATCCAGAATTATGTAGAAAGGATAAGTTTTTTCTCAATGATTGAGAACTGTAAAATATCCAACCCCTTGGTGAAATTGCGCTAGTACAGGTTCAACCAAATCGGAAAAGCTAAACATCAACATAAAACGGACATCACAATGACAATTACACTGACCAGAACATATTGGAAGAACTGCAATCGACATTCCTACAAAAGCCAACGCAGCAGACCCTCCAGCCAGACCATCAAGACCATCTGTTAAGTTAACACCATTTCCCATAGATACGAAACAGAATGAAGCCAACATTAGATAGCATTTTCCCAGGAACACGAGTCCTAGTGCAGGTAGAGGAACCAACAGTTTCCTGCATTGAGAAATAAAAGAACAACTTGAGTAGAAGCGCCTTGAGTAAAGCATTTATTATATAGAAGCAGGAGAGTAACTCAGCCATGACAATCCAAAAACAAAATGTCCCACTATCGGCAAGTTAAATTTAGTGTGTATGGTATCAATCCCAGTTGCAACTTTCACAGTTAAGAATATCACACAGCACTTGTCGAACATATTTCAGCAATCTGAATTTGGATGATTTTCGAATGGGAGAGAAACAGCTACACAAATATGACCCCTGGATAAGCGGGAAGGTTTAACAGTACAAGAAAAACAACCAAAAAAGAGAGAAAATTGCAATAGACCCTTTTTTGTGAAAGACTGTTAGCAAATAAGAACCAAACACAAGTTGATATTTTCTTTTAAACTCAACAAGTCAACATCATAAGAACAGAAATGTGAGTTACCATCAGAAAAATAGTTAGAAGAAGATATACATGCCATAGGGTGATGATACATTTGCTGTATGCAACCAATACGAAAACCATGTTCCAACAGCTACCTGTAAAATAAGCATAACATAAATATTGCTAAAAAGTTTCATAGAACTTAGAATCAACTCTTAAGATTAACTGGTAATCCACACACAAAGTTTGAGAAAGAAAAACTCAAATGTAAATTCACCTCCAAAATAAATTTTGTCCATGCAGATAAACCAGTGTTATGTTTCTTGACAAGGCTTAAGATATCATCAAGTAGCCCAATTGCAGCGAATGCAAGAGTTGCTGCAGCAGCTCCAGAAACTTCAACAGAGGAAAAACCGGCAATAAATTTCGCAACAATTACACCAATTGGTATAAAAAATAGTCCACCCATCGTGGGAGTTCTTTTCTTTAAGGAGTGCCTCGCAGGCCCTTCTTTTCTGATAATTTGACGAATCTTCAAGACATAGAGTAGAGGAACACAAACATATCCCGCGCAAGAGGCTAAAATGGCTGAAACAAAAAAGGGGCATGTCAAGTGAAATGGTGCCAAAGGTAGTCTAACAATCCTCCACGCACATGAATCCACATATAAAAGTAACACCACTAAGAACAGTATCAATCCCATGTTGAGTAATACGCCATGTCTGATCCTGCAAATGTTAAGTGTAAACGACAATCAGACTAAGACCCACATACACTGCTAGTTCAACCACGTGACCAAAAGAAAACCTACTTCTCATCGTAGCGTAAAATTTTGTATGTTTAAAATCACTTGTTGAAATCTATCATAACTCATGGCGAAATAAAATTACATAAATAAGTGATTTTGAGTATCTCTCAAACTATGAAACACAACCGCTTTAGCTATATGTAAAAGTTTATATTCCTTCGAGTCTGTGAGCAATGCGCGATAAACAGATAGCACACTTGCCTGTGCTTCTTACGCTGCCGTCCAAGCATTGCAAGCCGGTGAGCAGTGACAGTCCTAGCATCATCAGCTGCTACGGTGATGGCAGGCAAATCAATATCAGCAACGGGGGTTACTACAAACTCTCCGTCACTATCTTCGCCGCTGGAATAAATCATGTACCCTGTAGACTCTTCACGTCCGGTCCCCCAATCATCAAGTGGTGTTATATCAGCTGATTCCTGAGGGAAAAAAAACGCCATTCATATATGCGCCCCTGATAGCATTTCAGTTTATAAATCGAAATAAAATAAAACAATTCAAACCCAGTACTTGAGAAGGGCGCCAAAGCAAATTCGGAACCGAAATCTAGCAGAATTACAAACCCCTTATATAAACCAAACAAAAACTATGAGGCCTACCGAATCAAAGGACCCGAAATCGACAGAACTGTAGCGAAAGCGGCGCCCATTTCTCCGCCCGATCAACTGCAATTGATAACGTATGAAATCAGAACACATTAGAATAAGCATTTCACTACGAGCCTGTGAGAGGGCTTTTCGTCACAGTTGGCTTTCTCGGCAACCAAACAGAAAATAAGAAACGAACCGGAGATACCAGAAAACAAACCTGAAGATCGTATCGGATACGGGAACTCCGAAACGAAAAGGCCGAAACGGATCGGCGGCGAACGGGTGTGCAAAGCGAGGACGAGCAGTGGCGTGAGCGAGAGAGTTGGAGAGGAGAGAGATGGCGGAGGAGAGTGAGAGAATAAGATGATGACGACGTCATGTCTCGGCGGAAGAAGACGGAGATGATGAAGATTCAGATCTCGGAGCGGTTGGTGATTCCATTAAAAACTGGACAAGACGAAGAGGAAAAGATGTTCGAGTTTTGGAGCATTTTATACCCAAAAATAAAAAAAAGAAAGGAAGGCCGGAGGGAATGCGAAAGGGGAAACTTTGAAATTCTCGCACCGCATTTCTGTTTTTAATCGAGTTCTTGACGCGCCAAATGGCGCGTGGGGTCAGACGGCGTTTCCAGATATGGAACTTTGTGGGAAGAGATCCCTCCAGATCTCTCCCACCAAGTTCTAAGGATTCGAAAATCTTGATACTTGAAATTTCATTTAACGGCTACAATTATTCGAAAGGGATCTCTTCCCGAACTTTGGCCTAGTTTGAGATGAGGTGGCAACTGAAAGAGAGGATTAGGGAAGGTATTCTTTAGTTGACTTTTGTCGTGAAGAAATGAAATTCAACATTTTTGCCATTCGTTAGTTGACAATCCCAAAGCCTCCTAGTGTTAGGTTTTACCTAATTTACCTGTCGATTAGGTAAACGTATCGATTGAAGACGGCATGTTAAATAATATCACGTCATAGCAGATGTTGGTTAGATCATTTGATCAAATAGTATATCCACCACTGCATAAGTTCAAATCCATATTTCTCTAGAAACCGCCCAACACCCCCTTGTTAATCTTTCGTCATAAATCTTTGATCCAACGCTCGAAAATTAATAGGGGTGTATGAATAATTGAATAGCACTACCTATAAGGGAAATGCAGACTACCAGTGCCCACCTGGGGTTTAACACTAGTATTGATTCACAAACCCAACAAAAGTTCAACATAAATTCGGATTACGGTTGATAGATGCATATTCACACAAGTCCGCCGGCATGAGTACACACACACCACGGTTCTACCAGATCTCGGTGCAATACATACAGAAACGTTATGAAACACAAAAACACTATAGATCTGGTGATCAAACCACTTGCTAGGTCTGGGCGGTGCTCGGAGTCCGCCCTCGCCCCATTGTGAATCCCCTGGTTCCATCAGGCATCCTTGGGCCGGGTGGTGGCTTTGAAGGTTCAATGCCGTGATTGGCCGATGTAGTTCCATGACCTGGGGAAACATTTAGGTTAGATTAAGGGGATAGAGTCTATAAAGGAAAAGAACCTATTCAAAAAATTGGTTCAACGACATACCAAATCCATTGGTCCCACGGTATTTTTGCCTTCCTGGTTGCCCCCTATTTCGACCTCTATGCCCAGTTTTCTCTTTGGGAACTCGCTCTCCGTCCTAGAATGGCAGAACGAAAAAGGTCAAAACTTAAATTCCAGTCAAGTGTAACAAAAGACTTGTATGGAACTGGATCCATCAAGGACTCCGGCGAAAGTACCACCACTTACCTCTTCATCAGTTGTCCGTGCATCATTATGTTTCTCACTTACAGTATGATTCTCCTCGTCTCCTGTTTGATCGTTACTTCTGTTGCCGCTACTCTTCTCAGAATCAAAACCCCTCCAGGGTTGTTTTCTCTGTCCATACTTTCCCTGATGCAAATAAAACCAACATTAACTCTTTCTTATAGCCAAAAGTGAAGATAGAAAAAGAGAAAGGAAAAATGTCAGGATCAAGTACCACTTGCTTTAGAAGCTTCACCCGCATGCCATTTCTCCAATCCCCCTCATTGTTTAAAGTAGTGACCTGATCCATACCACCAGGAACGAAACTGTAAGCTAAGGATTGATTATCAGGGCTATTGGGCCCAACGAAAATGATGATTATTTTGATGACGATAATGTTGGAAAAGAACAAACACTTACAGCTTTGTCAGCAGCCTCCACGGTATCATACTCCACAAGGGCATGCAACTGCAGCAAAAAACAATACACATTACAAAAGGCTGCCAAAATATCTCAAAATTGTCTTAAAAAAGACCTCAAATATAAGCATAAAGGCAGCAGTTGCCTCAGACCACAAAAACATAAGACATTCCCAACCAAAAAAATCCCGAACATGGATAGTGTATCTCGGTAACCGAATCCTCTTAATCACCAGATTCTGAGAATTAGCAAGTATAATCATGCACATAAAGTTTAGAAACCATACCTTATTACTAATCAGCTTCTCAGTCTTGCCACCTTTTGTTGACGCTTCTAATGCATGTGGGTCAAGTATGCATAAATCTTTTATTCTGAAAATTTGAAAAGCATGCTACTATAAAAAAAAATGAAGAGAACAATAATGTCACAGGCTCACAGCATGGGGAGAAAAAGAAGGAAAAGAACATACTTTCCAGCTTCACCAAATATGGTCTTAAGGTTCTCCACCGAATGATCCTCAGGCAGGTTCTCCACCAAAACAGTGCACTATAATGCATAAATTAGATGCTTGAAGTTTTCCAAAAATAATACATCAAAAATCAAGGAAAAAAAAAATCAAAAATCAAAATCATGCTCAAAAGGTTACCTTTGGGTCCCTGTTTTCAGTTGAAGGAAGGGGATGAATCCGTTTCACCTTCTTCCCATTCGAACTCACAACCTACAAAAAGGAGATTTATGCTTGTCTTTTAGCATATTCGTGATTCAACTTGCACTTAATTTTTCACAAGAGAACAAAATAAGAACATTACAAGGAGGGTAGACTCCCTCAATGCATCCGCTATGGATGAATTGTCTTGAATGAGCTTCTTCATTTTTCTAAAAGAAGCAATAACTGAAATAGGAACTGCAAAAAAATATGCCAAAAGTTAGCGAAAACTGTTAATATGACGGTGAAGGAAAGGAGACAACTAATAATTTTTCTTTTTGTTACAACTAAGATTTTTTTACCAACAAAGAACGAGCAATTTGATGTATAAACAAATACCAATGCCACATGGATTTGAGGTAGCGGTGAACACTCTCATATACACAAGCAGCAAAAGGAGATAACGAAGTCTAATAAAGTTCTCATCTTCCTGCCAGAGAAGTAATCACCCCCTTTCCCAGAAGTGATATATCACCGCAATTACACTAATTAGAAACAAGAATAACCAAAAGGAACGAAAAAAATTTCTAATTCTGAATTTTGCAGTAGAATTTAATGAATAGAGAAGGAATCAGTCAGCAGTCAGTTACATGGTCATTCAACACCAACCCAGATGCTCGGCACAGCCATTTTTGGCTGCACCAGGAAAACATCCAGGCAAGGGAAGCCGTCAGAAGTACCTGCTTTACTCATCACCTTCATCTCCTCTACTTTATTAATGCCAGATTTTATTAATATAAACATAATTAACATTATAAACTTTCAGCACCCCTAAAGCATGTACTAGAAAATGACAAATAAAACACCTTGGAATAGATTGGTTTAGATCCACATCCAACCACATGAAGTCATGGTAGTCAAACAAATTGCAAATCAATTTGTCACTTGGTAATTTCAATACTCTATATTGCCAAATGGAGGAATCTGCATCAGATTAATTCTACTTTGGATGATTGAGGATGAGTTTCTTCACACGAACCTTTATCTTATTTTCTTAACGGAGTCATTACTCAAATAAATCACTTGGAAAAAAATTAATGCCCGTCCAAAGTTTTATTAGCCTATTACATGGGAAAAGTGATTAAACCAACGGGTGAACAAAGTTCATAGACACCTATACCATAATACGATAAGATTTTGTTTAGCATGACTTTTCCTGCATTTGTCTTATAAAAAGCGCCATTGCAAATTTGCAAATCAATCACAGAAGAAGAAATAAGAAGCCATTTGGGGTACAACTGGGGAAAGACATTTGGCTAACGTGAATCAAATCAGAAGAAAAGATATGCAAGCTTCAGTTCGGTACAAAAACGCATTCAACTAAAACTAAGTTGAATAAAAAAAATAACACTATACACTCACCATAACCTTCTTTGTTCTTTTTAATCATACTCGACATATAATTGTCAGTGGGCAAGTTTTCATCACTGAAATAATACTCCACCTGCAAATCCATAAAGAATTGACAAATGATCCTTACATGAGAACTTAGAATTAGTATAGCAAAACAGTTACTACGTGAAATATCTACATTTCATTTTCGCTATTTGACTAAATCTCGATGTGAGTCAAAATTTCGACTTCAGTGAAACTAAAATTTGGTTTAACGATCAGCAAAGTGGGCACAGAAATTAGTACATTATGGTCTATACTAATGTGGCTTCAAAAAGCGGTTCCAAATACGAGTCAAAATTTCGACTTCAGTGAAACTAAAATTTGGTTTAACGATCAGCAAAGTGGGCACAGAAATTAGTACATTATGGTCTATACTAATGTGGCTTCAAAAAGCGGTTCCAAATACGCACTCAATTCAAATTAACTTATCCTATCCATAACATATCCCATGCGTACGAAAAACGGAAATCAAATCACAACAATTTTATTGCATTTATTTTACCAATTTTTGAGTTGTTACTGAAATTTATGCCGCAACAAGTACGAATTAAGAGCATAATATCAAAAATCGTAAAGCTACTCAAACAATCGGGATGATAAATGCGATTCTAGGGTTCATAATCAATACAACACATATTGCAAGGTCTATGCAATATCCAATTATCAGCTACAAATCATATTCCTTTTAAAAATCAAACAGATATAAGCTCCTAGGGTTCACTTTTCCACATGCCAAAAAAAAGAGATAAAGACACACACACACACACACATATATATATATATATACAGGGAGAGAGGGGTTTTTGCCTGTTTAATAATCTTCTGTTTGAGATCCTCAGAGAGACCACCAGCCCCAGACGATTGATCAGGGTCATCAGACGGCTGTGGTTGGATCTCAGAGGAGGCGCGATCGGGAGATCCAACGGGTGAGACATCAGAATCGTGCGGCGGTAATGGTGGGGGGGAATCGGTGCCGCATGTGGTGACAGTGAGGATGGTGGTGGTGGTGGTGGTGATGGCGGTTTCGGCGGTGGTCACGGTGGGACCCTCTTCGCCTTCCATTTAGGGAAAGCAGAAGGAGGAGGGGAGGGGAGGAGAGCGAGGAGGGGGCGAACCTCTCAAAGGTTTCAAATGGGACAGAAGGCCCCCGCTCTTTCTTCTCCTAATTCGAGCTTCGTCTCCTTTCCACATTTATATAGACCCACC